CCCCAGAGTTTCCTTCCCCAAGGCACCCGTGCACCATCACCTCAGTCCCCTGTGCTCCTCCCTCCCTCCCTCCCTCTCATCCCTCTCCCGCCTCCTCCCCTGCAGGACATCTCCTATTTATAATTGTCTGTTTTTGCTTTGTTGTGCTTTGTCCTGTTATTAATTTTTTTTACACTGATGTCTTTATTGGGTTCCCCTATATTCCTGTGAGACCATCCAATATTTTTCTTTTTCCTTCTGGCTTATTTTGCTGAGCATCATTCCTTCTAGCTCCATCCGTGTAGCTGTAAATCGCATGAGTTTATCTTTTTTGATGGCTGAACAGTATTCCATCGTGTGTGTACGGTGGGAGTGCAGACCGGCCCCAGCACTCTGGGAAGCTGCCTGGAGGCTCCTGAGTCTACTAAAGATGGAGCCACCACATGACCCCGCAATTCCACTCCTAGGGATCTACCCAAAGGACACAACACACAGTCAGAAGAACACCCGGACCCCTCTGTTTATTGCTGCGGTTCACCATAGGCAAAGCCTGGAAACAACCCAAATGCCCAGAACTCGATGACCGGCTGGAGAAACCGGTGCAGACACACAGCGGAACACCGCTGAGTCATTTTGATCTTGCGGTGGCTCCTTGCACTGTGCGGGCGAAGTCTCTGGCCTCTGCGAACAAAACGTTCTCTTGGCTTCTTGGATGAGCGTCGTTGGCGCCTTCCCTGGGTTCTGGAAGTTTTCGGCTATCGCTTCTCTTTATAAACTCTGTCCCTTCCTCCCTGCCCTCCGGGGCGCCCTCGATCCTGACGTGGCCCTTTTCAATGGCCTTGGGGGTGTTCACCGCCTTCTGTAACTTTCTTGACACCTTCTCTCTCCTCCCCCACTGGCCACCCGAGGCGTCTGGGTTTCCGGCAGCGTGGCTCTCTCCCTCCTGTCATTCTGCCATGGGTTTGCGCGCATCGAGCTGCTCCTGTTTCCTTGTCTCTTCCTGACTCGGGTTTGCGTTTTCTTGTGTCTCTTTGAGCTTCTAGTTTTGATTTTGTGTCTGTTAGAAAGCTGTCGTCCTTGGCGCCTACCAGTTGGGCTTCTGCAGAGCTCTTCTCTCTCCGCCACATTGGCACGTGAGCCCTGGTGTTTTCCTGTCTGCACATTTGGAATCTGGGGGGCTGGGCTGGTAGCGCGGCATTGCCGTTAACCTTCCTCTGGGGCCCCAGGAGACCTGCCAGCCTGTCCCCCACTGTACCCTTCACAGGGCCAGTGCAGCCACCTAGAATGCTTTCTCCGTGCCCCTCCACTGTGGGTTTCTTCTGGCTCAGGCCGTGCTGCCACCTGGCAGGCCCTGCCCCAGCAGGCACCTTCCCTGGCCACCCCGCCTGCCTTGTGTCCCTGCCGCTCAGGCCCTGGGAAGGCCCCGCCGTCCTGCTCCGGTGCTGAGGATGAAGGGCTTTGTGGGCACAAGGGCGGGTGGCCTCCAGCTGCCTTCGAGGGGCAGGGCCTGGGCTCAGTTGTGTGCGGGGCACCTGTGAGTGTGGGAAGAAGCCAGCACAGAGAGGCCGGCCCCGGGCCTCGGAGTTCCGGGGAGCTGCAGGCAGAGTTTTCCTGAGCCATCAGGGAGGCTTCCTCAGGGAAGTGGCCAGAGGAGACCTGGGGGCCTGGGGTGGTGGTGACCAGCACCAGGCAGAGGCCCAGACACAGAAGCCGCCCTCAGTGCCCTGGGCTGGGTGCTGCTGCCCCTCCGCCGGGTCTGGACACAGTCAGGGACATGAGGGAGCTCAAAAGTGGGCTGCGCCCCATGTTTCCGGGGACTGAGCATCCCGCACTGGGCATCTCATCAAATCCTCACAGCAGATCTGCAAGCTCGATGGCCTGGTTCCCTCTGGAAGGAAGGAGGAACAGGTTCAGCCGCAGGCCTGCACTCCGGGCTGTCTATGCACGATCCTTTACACTCCCTGGCGCCTCCCCAGTCTGTCTCCAGGCCCCCGGACAGGGCAGGACCCCAGGCCGCCCCCTCCCAGGCTCCTCCTTGCCCTGCCTGGCTGGGTCTCTGCAAGAGATGGCAACCAGTTTTCCTCTCCTTTGGCTGCAGAGACCAAGGCCAGACCGGGAGGGAGTTGTCCTGCCAATGGCCTAGCTCCAGCTGGAAGCAGGGAGGTGGCGAGAAGTTCCCGGTCCAGACCCAGTTCTCAGGAAGGGACAAGTGTCACAAAGGTGCCTGGAAGAGCCGCCTTGGGGCCGTTTGCCACTGGAGTGAGCTCTACCCCATGAAAGAGGAGGCCCCTGCGAGGCCTGGGGCCTTTGGGGCCCTGGGTACAGACATGGGGGAGAGGAGCCTTGTGCCTCACATCCCCCAAATCTGGTCACACAGCAGCTCCTCCCCAGTCCCAACCCCTTGGGCCTCGTGGACACCCATGGGGTGGCCTTCTGAGTTCTTCCACTACCCTCCAGGTGACCTTCTGAGGCCCCTGAAAAAAGGGGGGCAGTCCTGAGGAAAATGTCCTGAGGACCCGTGCTCAGGAAGCTGGTGGGGAGCCCCGTGTGTGAGGAGGGTGACTGGGCTCCCTGGGACAGCAGCACCCTGATTTCTGCAGCTCAGTTGACCTGGTTCTGATGTTCCCCACACTAATCTCTTCCCTTGCAAGTGCTTTCCTGGCCTGTGCTGTGTTCCCAGGGCCGGCCCCTCCCCATCTGGCTCAGGCTTCTGTGTCCCCCGTTCTAGGGCCCCCTCCCCCCCTGCCAAGGGCTTTGTGCCTCTGCTCTCCCTCGAGGAGAAGAGGAAGCTTCTCTTGCCTTCCCTGGCCCAGCCCCAGCTGCAGTGGAAGTGGGGGCAGGGGAGGGCGTGGGAACCACTCTCTGCCCTGCCGAGGGCATGTTGGTGGGAGAGGGGCCCCCAGAGCAGGCGGGGGTGGGGGGACCAGCTGGCGCTGAGCCTCAGGGAGAGCCAGGGCGCCTCCGCCACTGGGGTACAGAGGGCTTCAGAGACCCGCGCACAGCCAGGCTCACCGAGGGGGGTCGCCTGCGCCCCTGCGCCTGCCTTCTTGGTGGCGGGGAGGGTTCGGAAGCTTGTGGGTGGGGCCCGAGTCAGCCCCCTGGACACCCCCCTCCGTCCCCCTGTAGCTCCGCTGGACATGGGGCTGCATGGCACAAGGTGGGCAGCCCGTGATGCGGGGAAGGAGCCCGGACGGGCATCCAGGGGCCAGGCCCAGGCCACCCCCAGGTGGCCTTTTCCTTCCCGAATTCCTTCTGGGGGCGGGCGGGAGAGGCGCGCACCCTCTGGCGCGTGGACACAAAGGCCACATCCTGCCCTGATGTCACCCGTCCCCGGAACAGCCGGGCCTCCAGGTGCCAGCCTGTGACGCCGGAGGCTCCGGGCTCGCCTCCCTGCTTCCTGTGCCCACAGCCAGAGCGGCCTCAGCAGGGGGAGGGCTCTGCGTTGCATGGGGGGGGGGGGAGCAGTGGGCCCTCGGATGGGACCCCACAGGGGCAGGAACAGGCCATGGCAACCATCCAGGTTTCAAAGTCGTTTATTCTTCTTTGAGGGGCAACAGGAAATTTACATGACTCGGAAGCAGGTAACTATGAAGATAAATAAAATAGGAAGCCAGTATGTTGTGGCGCGACTCCAGACACACTGAAAAAAATCTTTACAGTTTAAAACTGCTTTATACATAATTACAAATTAATATACAGCCTCTGGGCTTGAGCGGCCTCTGCAGAAGCGCGCTGGGAAACGTTCGCTCAGCACGCGGGCGCCGGCCAGAGGGACGACGGCTCCCTCTCTCCTGCCCGCGCGGACCCGGCGGCCCTGCGGGGGAGACCCGGGCCAGGGGGGCTCCCTCCGCTCACCTCAGCGAGACAGGGCGCTGTGCCGGGCCGGTGTCGCGCTGGAGGAATCAGAAAAACACACGGAAAGAAGCCTCCGCTTCCCTTGCTATTCTCTGGCTCGGCCCGTCGCGAGGAATGTCCTGCCAGCGTGGAGGGAAGCGCACACAGGGCGCCTCCAGGCCTCGCAGGGGTGGGCGGGGAGCACAGCCCTCCCCGGGACTGGCAGCAGAGGGGAAGTGAAGTCCTCCCGGGCCAGCACCCCCAGGATCAGGTGCTGGCCTGAGGTGCCTGTGCGACCTTTTACTTCAGGCAAAGCCTATTTCCTAAAGCCCTGACACTGCTCCCGTCTCCCCGACAGGCTGGACAAGGGCGTCGCTGCCGAGCAGGGAGGTGAGCAAAGGGCCCGCTAGTGGTATTGCCCTGAGACGGGAAAGGGAAGGCAGAGGTACCTTTTCTGGACAAATCTTGACAAGGAGCTGTTCCCCGCTGTCCCCGCTCCCGGGCGAGAAGCTGGAATGTTGGCAAGGGATGGATTAGGCCACCTGCATGTTTGTAACCCTCCCGTCTTCAGAGAAAACAGCGGATTGTCTCGAGAGAAGCCAGCCGGCGAGGGCCTGTAAAGTGCATGTCACCCGGCGGGATGACGGCGGAGATGACGGGATGCTCAAGATGCAGCCACTTCCGGGAGGCCCACCGGATTCTGGAAGCCTGAGGACGCGGCCCGGGGTTCCAGCTGTGGCCCCAAACGAGCTGGGCATCTGACTTCTTCAGCTTGATGAAGTTTGCCCCAAGAGGGGAGCTGGCGTCGCCCTGGAAGTCAGCCCCTTCCCACAGGCCCCGGGGGCTGCCCGGCACAGAACCTCGGTCCCTCGGCGGAACCGCAAGGGGCGGTGAGGGGGACACGGAGGCCTGCGGATGAATCTGGAGGGAGCTGGGGGAAGGTAGGACCCCCCCTTCTGATTCTCTGAGCCTGCACTTGACCAAGTCATTTTAAGGGGGGCGGGGAGAGAAGGGCTGTGGGTTTTCAAAAATGACCCAAACCAACTTAAGACTCCAGGCTCTGGGGAGGCCTTTCACCACGAGCGCAGCGGGGCTTGGGGAGGGGCAGCCAGAGGGGCACTGGAGCAGGTGGCAGGACAGCCCCACAGAGCTGGGGCAATCGGGGTGGCATGAGTCTTTGAGGGGGGGGGCTACATGTCTTGGTTTTTCTCAAAAGCCCGCTTTTGTAGGGCGAGAAATGTGCGGCAAGGAAGAAGCTGTCCCCTGAGGGAAACTGCGTCCTCAGGGCCCTCCAGGCACCAAGCAGGCAGGTAAAACCGTTGGGCCAGTAAGTCAGCCTTGAGAAAACACACACACACTCTCTCTCTCTCTCTCACACACACAATACAATAAATAAAACACAATTAAGCTCACAATTTTCAACAGAGGACTTTCAAATACAACTGAACATAAATCTCTCTACCTGCAAGGCCAGCTCGCAGTTCCTCACAAGCACCAAGTTGGAGCTTTTTAGTATGTTTTGTAAAAAATATGTTCAAAGACCCAGGCTTGTGAGGGTTCCAAAGGCCACGGCTGAAGAGCAGAATTTTCCAGGGTAACAACGGGCCGGGGGGTGTGGGCTGGGGCCGCCCGCCCCGCACAGGCCAGCCTGTGCCAGGCCCCGAGAGACCACCTGTCTCCAACGGGCGGGGAAAGACAAGGCCGCAGGGACGCGTGTGCGGGGCGGAGGACAAGTCACGACAGACCTTTGAACATTTTTTTTAAAAAACCACGTTTGCCAAGGCCCCGACCCAGGGTGCGCGCACTCCCTGGCCCGCTGTGGTGCGGGCCGCTGGAGACCGCAGGGCTCGGTCTTTGCCCCTGCCTGCCTACACGCCATCTCCAGCAGGGACAGGCGGGGAGGGCGGCCCCAAGAGGGCGCGAGCAGCCGCGGCCACTTCAGAAGGGCCAGTGATGACCACAACCGGGGACGTCCTGCTGGAATGACAGACGGTGCCTGAAACACGCCGGACGGGCGGGCGCCAGGCCCCTGCAGGGCCTCCAATCGTCCGGCGCCCTTTCTAAAGGAGAGAGGCGTGTGCAGAAGGGAGGGGTCGCTGACGGGGGCCAGCCAGGGAGGACTCGGGCTGAGCCTCCGGGCAGTGCTGAGCAGGCCAGGCCCTCTGCTCTCCGACTCTGGTCGTTCCCATGAGGAAAAGGCAGTTTCAGACCGTACGGGAAGACGCGCCTTCAGCCCGGAGGAATTCCGAACACACCCCCAGCCACGGCCGGGGACTCCTCGGGCCACTACGTGCAGCGGGACGTCCTCAGGAGGGCAGGCCCCACCCGGAGCGCGGCAGGGGCTGAGCCCCGCGGCCTCCCCACCCGGAGACTGTTCCTCTGGTCCGGGCGCCCGGTGGGAGAGATTGCACAGGCAGCAGAGGCGGGCAGGACTGCCTCACGGGCGCGTCAGCAGAAGATCTCCTCTCCCTCTGCTGGTCCTTCTGACGCGGGGCCGTCTGGAAAGGAGAACCCCACGAGGAATCAGCACAGAGAGCCACCCTCTCCTCAGGGAGCCCCCCGCCCCAGCCTTGCGTGTGGGGGCAGAGGGCAGGGCTGGCGGGCAATCGGTTCCCCACACCAGGGGGGCCCCAAGTGCTGAGTGAGCCGGCCAGGCCTGGGCCGCCGCTGCTCCCCGCTGGGTGACGACTCCCGGCCAAGGGGGCTGCGGGCCTGGGACCCGCGCGGCCCGGGTTGGCTCCGCCGCCCGCCCCGGGGAGGGCTCGCAGGGGCCCGCGTCCCGTGACTCACCGCCAGCCTGCGCGCGGCCGCCCTTGCTCTTCTTCTTCTTCTCCTTCTTCTCCTTGGGCTTGGCTAACCCGAAGAGGCGGGTGGAGGCGGAGGCCGGGGCCTGGCTCTGGCCCTCTGGCGCTTTGCTGGCCTGGCTGGTCGAGCTCAGTATGTGAAAAGGCCCCTTGTCTTTGTGTGTCCGAGTGAGGCTGTTCCTTTTTGGGGACGCTGAGAGTTCCGAGTCCAGTGACGCCGACTTGGCGACGGCGGGGGCAGGGGAGGGGCTCTCCTCGGGGCTGGGGAGGAAGGACGGGATCCGCAGCAGCTTGGTGTGCGGGTGCGCAGCCTGCAGGGGGAGGAGGGCTCGCTCAGTGTGCGACACCGAGGAGAGCCTGGGAGGAGAGACCAGGCTCCCCCAGCGGCACCCGCGGACGTGACGGCACACGGGCTTCGCCTGGGAGCGCCTGTGCGCGCGTCTGTACCCTCGCCACGCCTACCCTGGCCCCGGCAGCCCTTGGGGAGCCAGGGGCTGCTGATGTGATACCCACGGGGTGCAGACTGGCCCCTCAGGACCAAGTGCAGGAGCCTGCTCAGGTGGACGCGAGTGGAAAGCCGAGTTGCTACCAAGCTCTGTGGGAAAGGCTGAAAGATGAGGATGAACGGTCTCATCCGTGCCGACTCTCAGAGGCCTCCTGCGGAAGCCCCGCTGACTGCCGGGGTGGGTGAGAGCCAGGCTGGGTGCCAAAGAGCAGAACCCCGTGCTGCACCCTGCCATGCATGCACACCTCCCAAGGGGGCCCAGCTGCCCTCTGCTGCCCGCTGGGAGCCCCAGTTTAATTTCCTTTCATTGTCCAAGGTCAACCAAACGCACAGCAACAGGACGGGCTGGGCGGGCCCGGGCCTTCCGTCTGCACAGGCGTCCTGCTCCAGGTGAGCCGAACAGCCCTGAAATAACGGGGCTCAGCGTGCCGGACACGGGAGGCCTTTCCAGCTAAGCAGCAGCTACAGAGAAGGTGTCATCCCCAGAGCGAGAGGACAGGGAAGCGTGGGCCTCTCCCGGGGAGGGCGGCTGCCCCAGCCTGTTCTTTCCTTGATAGCTCCTCTGCCTGGGGCACAGGCTCCTGGGCCCTATCCTGGGCGGGTCTTTAGGTGGAGGCGCTTCTGAGATCTCATGTGGCACTTTCCAGCCCCAAAGCCCCAGGACCTCCCTTCCTGTTACCCAGCAGTGGTGCAGACAGGAGAGACACCCTCAAGCTCCTAAAGCAAAGGCTCTAATGGAGGGGTTGGGGGGGCGCCAAGGCGCAGGTGAGCCGCCCCCCTTGGCTCCTCACCTGGCTGAGCCGCTCAGTGTCCTGTTGCAGCTGCTCCTTCTCGCGCTCCAGCTGTTTCTGGGCAGTGCGCAGGCGCTCCAGCTCGCCTTGGTAGGCGGCCTTGCGCTGCTGCAGCTCCTCACGCTCCCGCTCCAGATCCTGGAGGCCCCGGCGTGCCTCAGCCTCGCGCTGAGCCAGCCGCACTTCGCGCTCCTGCAGTGCCCGCTCGCGGGTATCCCAGTCGCGCTCACGCCGCCGCTGCTCGTCCAGGTGCTGCGCCCGCTGCCGCTGCAGGTTGGCCAGATCCTGGCGCTGCTTCTCCAGGCTGCGCTGCTTCTCCTGCTCAATCAGTGAGCTGGGCCGTGCTGAGCTCCGCGCCACTGCCCGCTCTGCCAGCAGCAGCTTCTGGTCCTCGATGTAGCTGTCCTGCTGCAGCACCACGCCCTGGGCACACCGGGCAGGACCTCAGACCCAGGACACCTCTTCCACCCCTTCTAGACTGGTCTGAAAGGACCTGCCTGGATCCCCGGGGGCGACTGCCCATTCATCCCAGGATGCAGGAACTCACAGTCCTGGTTAAGTGGGGCTGCTGCTGTCAGTTTCCTCCCACCCCCCAAGGGCGTGTGTGTTGGGGGAGGATAGGAACGGATCTGGCTGAACCTTCAAGGAGGGACGTGAGAAGACTCTGAGGCTGTTCCCAGGAAGGACTAAAGAGAAGCAGCTGGGGCAGGCCACACAGGCCCATGGGGCCGGGTTATCCCCATGCGCCCCTTTCTGTCCGGGATCTTCTTAGAGGGTCTCTGAGTTCTCCCCAAGCCTTTCTTGTTAGGAGGGCCCGTGCCCTCTAAAGTGAGGCCCCACGTAGGCAGAAGCAACTGCAAACCTCAGTGATCTAGGCTGACAACCCCCTCCTGGCTACTTAACTCCAAACAGATCCCGAGGGGTCGAGGGAGGGCCTGTACCTGCAAAGAGCTGAGCAGTTCGTGCAGATGGACAACGCGCTGGATCACCTGGTGCAAAGGGAACAGGATGGAAGCATCACCCAGGGATGCAGAGCCCAGCCCAAGAAAACGTCCCCACCCAGCAAGGTATGTGCACTGCGTATGTTCCAACAGAAAGCTCCCGAGAGAACAAGCAGCCAGGGAGCAAAGAACCCGGCCAGAGACAGCGCGGCCGAGGGGCAGGCGGCACACCGCCCCGCTGGAGTCTCTCGAAACGCTGAGTTGTTCAGACTGGCATGAAAGCAGCCCAAGCATAACGCAGCAGCCACCCGGACGGAGGCGGCACAGGGAGCATTTCTGGTCAACGAGGAAGGAGAGAACAGGCGGTGAGTTGTCCCGAGAACACTGGACGACCCTGCTGGAAAGCAGCCTGGGGGCCTGGCTGAGCCCGGCTCACTGAAACCTTCCAGGGGATTAAAACGTTACGTGTCGGCTACGACCCGGGAAGGGCCTGCGGGGACGCATGAGCGTGTTCTGATTCTGAAACAGGGTTTTCCAGAGACGGGAGCCATGGAAGGAGCCACAAATTTTCAACTTTCACTGTCCACACGTAAGATTTAAACGGGAGGCAAGTGAAAAGAAAATCTTTTAGATGAGCAAGAACGCACGAATGCCCGGGGGAAAGGCAGGCCGGGAGCACACGCTGAAAATGACTCCACCTCACGTGAAATCAAATAAATGAAGACACACCACTGGGCTTCCGAATCAACAAAAACATCAACTAAACCATGCTCCCCAGTGCTGGGTGGAAGCAGGCGGAGGGCGTCTGGGTGGGGCCCAGGGCACCCCAACGAGGCAGCAGCAGGGAAGTGATCAGAAACCCGTGCAGGACATGGGTGGACACAGGTGTCCACGGCTGACCAGAAGAGCTGACCCCCCGGCAAGAGCACCATGCCCTGCGCCCGTGCGAGCGGAGCGCCCAGGCTGGAGACACGCAGCTCTTCCCCGGGGGCGGGCTGGCTTCTCCTTCTTACACTGCTGGACACTCTCGCCTGCCAGGCGCCCCTTTTATGATCCCCCAGGCGGTACCTTCCCGGGCTCTGCTCTTCCCAGGCACTCCTCCCAGACGGGCCCGCTGAGCCCGGGGAAGGGCGCGAAGGAAAACGGGCTGGGCGCCCGGCCCGCAGCAGCAGTCTGGGAGAACGGGCTTATTTCATCTCGGGGTGCACACACTGGAGGGGAGGCCTCGGGGGACCACCGCGTGCAAGTTCAGGGCCAACCAACAGCAAACAACATCCTCCGCACGTTAATGGGCGAAAGGAAGGCGCCGCTGTGCCGCAGCGAGGGAAGCAGAACGCCCCGAGCGCCACACGCGCGTCGTCAAGGACACGGCCGGGTGCCTGTCACCGGCATGGGGTTTCCTAAGAGGGAACGGTGGAGGGAGGAGGAAAGCCCCAGTGGATCTTGTAGGGAAGACACCCCGAGTCGCTCTGCCCGAGGCTCGTGCTACAGGACAGGCGGCCGCGACTCCTCGTGCCTGGGGGCTCGCTGCTGCCGGTCCAGGGAGAGGCAGAGGCTTCTCCAGGGCAGAGCCTTGGGGCCACGTCAGCAGGCAAGACTCTGCCTGCAAAACTCTGCCTGCAAGACTCTGCCTGAAGCGACGTGCTGGGAAAGGCCAGGCATGGAGCTGCCCACGGCTCAGGGAGCAGACTGGGGCCAGAGTCCCCAATTCTACCAGCAAGGCAAGAGCGTGCACCCTCCCCCAGCAAATGGAAAGCGATCAGATTTTTTTAAAACAGCTCATGACAGCCTTACCTCACTGCTCCTCTTAGGCATGAACACCAGGTTTGCATTTCCACCCTGCAAGGCGGAAGACGTGCATTAGAACAACAGCCTCCCAAGGTAAGAGCCGCCTCCAGTGTGCCCGCCAGTTAGGAGGGGCCTCCCGCTGCGGGTGGAGGGAGCGTGTCAAGGTCAGGCTGCTTTGGGGGCTTCTCTGGCAGGGCGAGCTCCGCGTCCCAGCCAGAGGGGACAAGTGGGCAACACGGGAGGGGTCTGCCCTGCACCCCTTGATTAAAAGCGTGCTTTCTTAAAGCAGTAAATTAAAAAAAGCCAGGCGCCCGAAACAGGATCGGAGTGGACCAGTTTCAAAGATGAATTCAGAGGGAGGAACGAGGCGGTAGAAATAAATACCTTTTTCAGACCACTGTCCGACTCTGTCCTCCTGAGATCTTGGCCGTCATCCGCATCCTCCTTCTCACTTCCTGAACAGACAAACCAAAGAAAATGTGTTCAAGAAGTGAAAAAAGTCTAGCAGAGACACGAATACATGGGACGTGGTCCTTCTGAATCCTGTGCCTGCCAACCAGGAGCTCCCGCGGCAGCTGAGCCTGATTCAGGAGTCCCTGGACTAGCAGCCAGAGGGACAGCAGGCGTGGGCACGTCTTTGGCCAGAGCTTAGCTGAGGTCCCAGGAGAATCTTCACTGCTCAGAATGACGGTGACCCTGCTAGAGGGTCTTGAGGGTTTCGGCAGCTACATGCTTCCCCAGGGTCTCTCCAAACACTGACTGGCGGGGACAGCGGAGACGAGCGACCACAGACAGCGTCCCCCGGAATGGGCAGGCCGGCGCTGCCTGCAGAGGCGCCGGCTCCGGTCTCTTACCTTTTGAAGCACTCATCTGATGGCTGTCAAATCCCCCGAAGGTCTCTGCTCTTCGAGGCAAAGAGACGGGGCCGACCGTGCCTTCCTGCTCGCCGGGGCTGCTGACCACTGGCCCCAGGCTGCCTCCCAGGCTTCCACTCACCAAGCCCTGCAGGATCTCCACTGGAAGAGAAGAGACGTGCCAGACTGACCCCTTGGCTCCCAGCGGGCAGCAGAGACCACGGTGCCACACCGTGTGCACAGAGACAGGCCCAAAGCGCAACTCGGGGATGTTTGGTTGGGTTCTACTTCAGGCAATCCAGAGAGCACCCCTTCGGCCCTATTTACACGAGGTCTAGGAAATGCCAAGGGGCACAGAGAAGGCAGAGTAGTTTCCTGGAAGGAGCACGGCTCCTGGCATCAGGGCTGAAGTAGCAGCGCTCCCTGGAAGGTGAGGTGGGTCAGCTGGGAAACGACTCGGTTTGCCCAGAGTGAGCGCGTGTCTGGAGCAGGCCAAGCCCCTGCATTCTCAAGTCTGACCAGCTGAGGTTCTTTCCTTCTAGGAAAGAAGGCCACAAAATGCCTGCATGCTCAGAGCAAGTAAAATCAACCTGGGCTGGAACAAGAGATGGAGAAAGACGACGGAATTTCATAGGCCAAGCCTCATGGGTAAAACTCAAGACCCCAGACGTTGCAACTGTGAGTCTCGCCAGGTGAAGACCCGAAGCATCTGAGATTGTTTTCCATGAAAATGACCCCAGGAAAACATCCACATCAAACCCCGCAGAGTGGAGTGAGAGGCAGAGAAAAAGGAGCGCGGGGGCCCCCTACCAACAGCCCGCGCGCATCAGGAGACGGACGGGCCCACCAGACAAACGCTGAGCAGATGCCGGCGGTGAGAAGCCCACGTCCAGAGAGAACCAGAAACCAGTGGCCAAAGGTCACTTCAGAGCAAACACAGCCGGGAGAAGGTGACGCCGTGAGAAGACGCAGCCATGGAAACTATTATGAGGCACGACAGGTGCAGCACGGCAGACCCTAGAGCGTCAGTTCAGCAAAACCGACGCTGCTCTAGTAAACTGACGTGCAGTCGAAAAATCCTCTGGGCACCCAGACAAAGAGCATGTGGGGACATAAATTTATGATCAGACTCTGACAAAAAAAGATACCCAGGGGAAGAAAATGTGAACCAGGGACTCTGTATCAGTGCGACAGACTTTCAAATGAAAATTAATAACACAAATTATTACCCACAAGCAAGGACTCAGGGTCTGTTATTCCCCAGGGCCGTTCCTGAGGCCCCACAAGAGAGATGCCTCAGACACCCAGGTGACCAGAGGAGCCCGACGTAGGAGCTGGGGATGCGTGGCACCGAGACTCCAGATCTGGGCTAGCGTGCTCCGCCGTGCGTACACGCTCTGCAGGCTGTGCAGCTGTTTAAAGCACGGGCAGTGGGAGAGCGGAGGGGAGCCCTACTGGGTGGTGGGGGAGCAAGGGTATTCCGCGCGCTGAGGCAGGAGAGAAGCGGTTCGTGAGCCCAGCGGAGTCGGCCTATACCAGAGCCTCGAGAACAGGGATTCCTCGGAGCGCAGAGGGAGGGGACCTGAGCTCTGGGTAAGGAACAGCCTGGCAGGGAGGCGAGGCCCGCGGAACACAGCTGAAGTCGTGAGCCCACACCACGGAAAGTGCACCGGTCACCTCCGAGGAGGACCATACATCAACCCGCTGCTTTGAAAACCGGTTAAGCAGGTGGAAAAACGTCAAGCCTGAATCCCATTATCGCGCTTTTCTGCTATGCCGCACGAAAGCGGAAACCAGGCAGCAGGTGCCCTTGAGGGAGCAGCGCGCTACGGGGAGGCGGCCGGCCGAAGCGAGCAAGTCTGCGTCACGGAGTCCAGCTGCGAGCTGACGGGAACAGAAGGCAGAAGAACCACCGCTGCATGAATAAAACCCAGCCCGTGGAGAACGCTACAGGCTAAAAAGCTCAGCCGCCCCAAAGATGAGCTGTGTGCAAAGGGAGACGGAACAATGAAGACTCTTACAGGGATGCAGAAGACGTGAGCAACATTAAAGCGTGGGGGCTCAGCGTAGGCACTTGATCGTAAAGCCATAAAGAACCCCGAGGGATCACGTTACAAGTCACGTCCCAGTTCCAGGGCGTTTATCTTCCCAGGAAGAAGGTAAAGCTGGTCAGTCAGCTCAGTGTGTCAGCCGCTCTGGAGTCCTTACCCTCATTTATGGCGCTTTTCATCAAGGGTCCTCCTTTGAGAGCCTCCTCGGTGTTGGAGCGGAAGAGCACTCGAGGGCTGTGGACCGGGGAGCAGTCCTCCGGCAAGGGGGTGGTGCACTCCGTCATGTCCCGGAAAATCATTTCTTTCTCCTCCAACAGGAGCAGGATCTGCTGGTCCTTCTGCTGGAGTTGCTCTGCCGGGCAGGTGCAGGGAGCGGCGTGAGGCCCGGCCGGAGCGGCGCCACCGCGACGCGGGCGCCACCTGGTGGCGAGTCTGCAGGCCGGGGAGCGCAGGACCCGCCCCGCCCACCCCTCTCTCCTCAGGCCGGCAGAATCACCCATGTTCCGTTCTGTCATTTTTTTTTTTTAATAGAATTAGTGTATTTATGTACACATGAGTTGGGGTGTAGGCCAATTTCTAGCTGAAAAGCTACCCCGGGGCTTCTGCTCCGGACTTTGCTCCTGCTCTTTCCAAGGATCCGACATCCCTGAATTCGAGGTCCCGCTTCATCCTTTCCAGCGCTGGAGGGGCCCCTCCCCCCGAGGACTCCCGGGTTCTCTCCCTGCCCTCGGCTGCGGGAGTGTCTGGGCGCCCGTGTACCAGCTCACACGCGGCTTCAGCGACCTCCTCAAAGCTGGTCGCTCACAAGAAGCCTCCTGAATCCGACCCGCTTCCTTGAGCGCCGTGCCGAGCCCCCGCCACTGTGAAGGCCCCGTCCGAGCCCCACTTCTGCGCCCCATTCCCAGAAGGTCACAAACCTCCTTCCTCGCCCGCCGGCCCTTCCCTCGCCAACACCCCCCCCCTCGCTGTCCTCCTCCAGCTGGTTCCGGAGTGGCCTGTCGCCGGCCCCCGCCCCTCACACTCTGGCGTCCCCCACCCTGCTCCCTCCAGGCCATCGTGCGCCTGACCTGCCCCGAGGCTCACTGGCTGTCCACTCCCAGCGGCCCCCACTCCCGCAGGGACAAAACCCAAGTGGCTGTAACAGCAATAAAAAAGACAAGCTCCCACTTGGACCAACACACTGCATCCTTCCTCCGCTGCCTTCTAAGGCCTCGCCTGTCCGAACATTCCAAACCTGACACGTCCAGTCCCTTTTCAGTGTTCACCTAACCGCTGTTCTTGGTGGGAAAGTTCTTTTCAGATGCAGAATATGCGAGACCCCCCCCCCCCATGAACACCAGGGGCAGGCCAAGTGACCCGTGCCGTGGGCTCGCCACCCTGCCCCTGTCCTGCCTGTCCCCCGGGCGGCGACCCGGCTGAGCTCTGCGCCCTGCAAGAAGCGTCACACCTGGCGCTTCCACCCTCACCGCGGGCCAGCGGGCCTGACAGTTCAGGCTCCTGTGCGAGCCCCCGCGCCCCCTGACACGTCTGCACCTGCAGCCTAGAGGACACACAGCGCTCCTGGAGGCTGGTACTCATTCGACTCTGGCCTTATTTCTGCCCAAAGCGCTCAGTAAGCGAGCCGCAGAGGCAGGGCGCCGGCTGCGGGTCAGAAGGCAGGGAGCGGGCCTGGCTGTCCCAGCAACTTGGGAGCAGGTGGCCCAGGCAAGGGAACTCAACACGGATGAACGGAGAATTCCTCTCCTCGCCCTCTCTGTTTTACTCTTCAACGTGACCGTGGCTTTTGCCATAATCTGCGACAAAGTTCAGAGACTGTCCCCAGGGACGTGGACACTGAGGCAAGAGGCCCAACATCCCCTCGGGTCCCTCCTGCGCACTGTACAGCCTTCCTGGGCGGGGACCCATGCGAAGCTGCTGACCATCCTGTCTCAGGGCCCCTGGGACAGTCGGGGTGGGGGGAGACACCGGCCGTCCCTGCAGGCGGCCAGGCAAGGGGCCACCTCCGACAGCCTTACCTTTCAGCTCCCGGGCTTTGGTGTCCAACATCTTCTTCTCTTCCTCGTTCTCACTAGGAATTCCTTCGTCTTCATCTCTGTTCCTAACGCAAGCGAAACAAAGGATGGTCAACATGTCAGTTACCGCGGTCCCTGCCCGTCTACCGGGAAATCAGAGGCCTCGGGGGGCCGGGGAGCCGCGATCCACCCACAGGGTGTTGATGGTGTCCTGGATGATCTGGATCCAGCTGTTGCGCTCCTCCTTGGAGCCGGCGTGCACCTCCACCATCTCGGGGTCCTTGACGCCCATGCTGATCAGGAACAAGCCCTTCTCCTCGTGGGCCACTTCTCTGACGATCAGCTTCTTTAACGAGATCACCGTTGACTTCTGGTCCTGGGAAGAGGGGAGTTAATGGTAAGTGGACAGCACCCGAACCCTCACCACAGCTGCCAGCTAAGGTCGACCGGATGCCTTTCAGAACCACGTGGCTTAACACGCTACGGCAGCGTAGGCCCGAGATGCGCCTTGCCTCGCTCCCACGGTGCCAGACTCCAAGAGGGAGGGGAAATTTATCACTGGGAAGGGTCTGGACACGCTTCCTAGGTGATGGTCCCGGGGCCCGCTCAGAGTGTGGTCAGTCCTCTAACTCAGTGAGAGGCACTCGAGTGACAGCTTTCTTTTTATCTCAAGTGTCCAAGGCTCTTGAGGGAACAGAAAACCTGAGGGGCTCCAAAAACTGCGAGGTGCGTAAAGAGTTACCCCGGGGAATGTGCCCGAGTCAGCCCACGGAGCGCGGGCAGGAGGGCACGCCGCACGCACGCCCACCCGCACACCCGCCCGCGCCAGGCGCCAGAGACACGCGGCTTACCAGCGATGCAAAGACGTATTTCTGGTCTTTCTCTTGAAGGAAAACTAAGATGTCAGTGAGCAGAACTGCTTGCACCTCTGTAGATGGAAACGGGGAGAGGCAGGGTGAGCAGGGCGGATGGCTGGGCAGCCCCTCGCCAGCGCCCCCGGCCCGCGTGGGAAGGGCCGCACCCCCCAAGGCGGCGCGCGTCTGCCAGTTCCACGGGACTTAGATCTGCTCATTTGCGTTTTAGAGGCGCTTTGAAATGCGATTTATTACCAAAGCCTTGTCTCGAGAAAGTTGAAGGACTCGGTTTTGGAAAGTTGTATCCCCTTCAGGCAAGATTTTCAGACTAGAATACTTTAAGCACAGAGGGGGAAGTGGCGCTTGAGCGGATGTTAAACAGCAGCACAGTCCACAGAACACTCGGGTCGTAACACTTCCCCGCTCCCGGGCAGGGCGATGGGAAAGGCGTGGGACAGCAGCCGGGCACGCTGCCAGACGGTGATGTGTAACAGCCACGTCGTGAGAGGCAGACCGCCCTGGCCCCGGCGGAGCAAGAGCAGCCCTGAGACACCGGGTTCAAGGGTCCATGCGAACTGCTCTCCCTGCCCCCCACCATCACATCACCCCAGCCTCCCTGCTCCCACACACCACCATCACCCCAAGCCCCGCTCCATGGGAACAGCCTTTTATGGCTCCACTCAGCAGAAGCTAAACTAACAACTGGGTGGATCCAGGAATCAGGCGACCCCCACTAGCCTGCTCCCCTCCAGGAGCACGGGGGCACGTCCCACCGTCCCCTGGGGCGAGAACGTGGCACTAAACACTAGTGAAGCCGAGAGGCAGGCCCCTGAGCGCCAGCCCTGCCTCTCCCACCACACTCTCTCAGCTGGGACCCCTCCCGCATGAGCCAAGGAGAACACGAGCCAGCCTGACCCCCAGGGAGGTCTCTACCTGCACCCCACGCTACAGCAACTTTCCACGCCAACCGTTCGTTTTCACAAGTTTCAAAAAGGTTCCTTTTAAATAATTCAGGTGCCTGTGGCCCCCACCCCTGGCCCTGAAGTTCTAAAATAAGTTTCAACTTCAGTGTATTCTGAAGCTGATGGTGCAAACGGTGTGGCAGCAGCAGAGAAAAACAGCCCGTCCCTTGCAGAGGGCGGGCCCCACGGTACTGGCCGTTCTGGGGGGAGCTCAAGGGTGACATGACTCGGCACTGGCTCCCTCGCTGCCGGAGGCTCTCGGGCCTGAAAACCGACCGCTCTGCCACTGGCTGGACCACAGCTTCATTCCCACAGCTGGAATCTGTTAGTTTTCATTCTGGGAATGAATAAACTGCTGTGCAAAGGAAGAATAAAGAGCCGGCTCCGGGCAACGGCAGCTCTAGGAAATTCAGGTCTTCTCAAGAGAGGACCTGCCCTCTGGACGGTGTCCAAGGGCCGTGTGGAAAGAGGCAGCGGGACGTGCGGGACCCCAGGGGCGTCAGGGCTGGGGGGAGAAGCCCAGGGATCGTGGCGGAGCAGGGGGACTCGTGGCCGCCTACTTGTGGGAGGGCAGAGGGCCCTGTGCCCTTCCCCTTCACAGGCCCTCCTCAGCTCAGCCCAGAGCAGCGCTTCACTGACGCACGGCCACAGGGACGCTCTGTTCCTGTGTTCCCCAGTCGTCACACTAAAAACCAACCGAATCCATCCATTTCCTGCTCAAAACCCTCCATGCGAACCCACTCTTTGCCCCACCGTCCGCTCCTGCCTGGGGCCTCAAGGGTCCTGCTGGGGGTCCGTGCTCCCCGCTGCCTCCTGCTGCCAGGCCAGCGCGGAGGCTCTGGGGGACACCCCGCACCGCCCCGCAGACACCCGCTCCCTCTCCTCGTCCTTCTGGGCTCCCAAGCTACCGCCCCCCCCCCCCACCCATCCTGGCCCCATCCTGCCACCAGGGGGCTGCCCCACACGTCTCAGGTCCCGTGACAAGGCCCGCGAGGACTGGCCCTGGGGACAGCAGCCGTCTGGGTGCGACGTGGGAGGAGCCGCTCCAGGCTGGTGTGAGGCCAGTGCCCGCCCCCCGGCCTGAGGAAACCACTGATGAAGCCATTTCACAGGAACTGCTCCTGCGCAGATGAAATGGCCGTGCATGGAGGAATGAAACCTCTCACTCTTCCCGTGGCGCAGCCTACCACAGAACCAAGTGGAAAATGAGCGTCTTTCATGATCTCTTTCGCTTTAGAGAAAGATACAAATATAAAATTTGCCTGGCATCGAGTGAGCTTGAACGTCCATTTCTCTAAAGTCCTAGAAGCTGCAACACTCTAGCCTCTTCCGAAACAAATGACGACGACGAATCCCTCAGGCTTGAGACGGACGCGCTTCTCTCCTTGCAGAGAGCCCTCACCCCACTGCTGACGCGCGGGGCACACGCCTTCCACGGCAGCTGGCCTCTGCGTCTCAATCTCACCCTGTGCTTTTTAAAAATCGCTTCTCCCTGACGGCATCATTTCCATGTCACCTTACTGTTTTCCACGTGCCTTTCTGAGCTACCCCGAGCCAGGCCCTTCTGACCCGAGACGGCAGTGGTGCGCCGGGGGGCCGCGCGTGGGGCGCTGGGGAGCTGCTGGCCGGGACGCGGGGTGCGGCCTGCTCTCCGCACGCAGAGTGCGCCTCACCTTTCAACCTTCCCGCCGCATTCTTCAGAAACACACTCCCGTCCCGCACCAGCTTCTTCCGTTTCAAATCCTCCTTCGCAAACATCTGGCCGCTCTTCATCCTCATGATCGACTTGCTGTCTGTCTTCGTATAAATCTCATTGAGACGCACTTTCTTCTCGTAACTCGCCACTTTGCTGTCCACAGCCCCAATCACATCCTTCACCAGGCTCAGCGACTGAGCCAGATCTTCCTCCTCTGCCTCATTGTCTGAAAAGGGAAAAGCAGTTGTTTATTTATTTTTTGAAAATTACATTTCTTTTTATTTTATATATATATATTTTAATAAAGATTTATTTATTTATATAAGAACTGGGGTACAGGCCAGATGCGTGGGAGAGTGAGAGGATTCACCAGAGACAGAGTGGGGAACAGAACAGGCAGACTGACGGAATACACTGCTGAGGGGAGCAGCGGGTGCGACAGGAGAGGTCTGCCGCGCCATGTGGAACTCTCCCTGGGCAGCCAGGAATCGAACCCATGCTGCAGAGGCTGCGGGCAGCTTCACAGCGCTGCGCTCAACCGCTTGCGCCACCAGGGGAGGCCCTGTTTCATGTACATCATTTTAAATTTTTGTACAATGTGTACATTTTCACCTTTGCTATACACACAGCAGTTCTGTTTAAACAGACTCTTTCAGACCGGGGAGGAAGGAGGGGGTCCTACCTTCTTTTTCCAGATCATCAATGCCCTTGGGGGAGTGAAGCAAAGATGTCAAAGGCCATGGGCCTGTCCCTGCTCTGATACAATTAACTCCAAAGAATGCTAGTTGTTGGACCTCCCCTGGTGGCACAGGTGGTTGAGCGCTGTGCTGTGAAGCTGCCCGCAGCCTCTGCAGCGCCGGTTCGATCCCAGCCGGCTGGCGAGGGTCATACGTGGCGCGGCAGACCTCTCCTGTCGTGCCCGCTGCTCCCCTCAGCAGTGTATTTCGTCAGTCTGCCTGTGCGTGGTCTGAGACTCACCTTTGGTGCACTGCAGTATTCTTTGGAACAGAACTGGGTACTTGGTGATCCTTTGGGTTACAAGCAAAATACACTCGGGGATTCCAAGCCTCCTGACGACTGAGCTGCTCATCTTCTTCTGCAAAGGAGCAAAGGAAAGGTGTCAACTGCCTGGGGAAGAAGGTGCTAGCGAATGCTGATGGTGTTGCTCTGGGCCACAAGGGGATATGGCGTTCATGTCAGCCCCTTTACCTTCACAAAGGCCTGGAAGCGCTTATCCTTGTTGTAAAGGTCTTTGAAGTAGTTCACGGACTGGTTGTGCTGTCCACAGAACTTGCCGTACGTCGTCTTCAGGCGCTCTGCGTTCTCCCCTGAAAACTGCAGACAACGGGCCCGAGTTAAGCTGTGAGCCAGGGCACTAGATTCACATTACCCTTCTGCACGGTTCCCAGCCCCCCTGTAAAACCCAAGCGCACGTCCTCATAGCCCCCTGAAAGATCAAAATGGTGCAGCAGTGTTGGAAAACAGTCTGGCAGTTCCTCAAAAAGCCAAAGATGAAGTCGCCATGTGACCCAGCAATTCTACTCCTGGACATAAAAACATATCCACACAGAAACTTGTATGTGAATATTCATAAGAGTATTAATCACAACAGACCCAAAGTGGAAATAAACCACGATATTCATCAAAGGATAAATGGATAAAATGTGAGTGGTGGAGTATTAGTCAGCTGTGAAAAGGAATAAAATACCGATAGACGCCACAATACTCATCAGTCTTGAAAACATCATTCTGATTGGAAAAAGCCAGTCACCGAGGGTTACAAAAGGCTTTGTTCACTTGTACAAAATGTCCAGACAGGCAACTCCACAGTGAAAGAAAATAGATTAGTGGTTGCCAGGGCTGGGGCAGTTGGGAGGGTGATAAAAAAGCTCTCAAATGGGGCTGCTGCACAGCCTCATGAATATACTAAAAGCTACTAAGAATTGCGTACTTGAAATGGCGGATTGCGTGGCATGTGAATCATGTAACAATAAAGCTGTTTTATACACATATAGTTAAAAACAAACACAAAATATGAGCATACAACTGCGTTCTAATTCCCATTGGTCATAAACATAGTAATAAAACAAGGCGAATCACTGAAAGTTTTTCACAAAATATTCAGTCTTAAAAATCTCACCTTGATAACAAATCAGACACCAGAAGCAGCTGTTATTACCTAAGCATCTGTTTATCCTATTAGTCTCAGGCCAGCAAGCCTAACAGTCTGGCCCTAAATCACCCCCAAATGAGTGTCATCTCTTGGGTTCACCTGCAGGCACCTGGGGTAAAACGAGGCGTCCCTGTATGTGCTGCTTGCGACACCCACTAAGCGTCAATTTTCACTGCACTCAACAGCCCGGCAAGCAATACCGATCCGCCCTTCCTAGAAGTCTTGATGAAAAGGTTCAGGGTGCTTTTCTGTTCCCTCTACTGACAGAGAAGCTGGGCAGGAGAGCTAAGTGGTTGGCTAGCATCAGAAAGGTCGTGTTCTCGAAGGGCGACTCTAGCTCCAGACACCAGGGGCTGCGAGCGTAACACCCCCATCTACGGTCTTACTAGTGGTGCCATGGACAGCACAGGCCCGGGCCAGGGGCGACTGCCAGGGCAGAGGCAGAGAGCGGGAGAAGCAGCCTTTCCTCACACCTGACCACTGCCACCTCCAGGCTTGACTCTGCCGGGCCCCAGGCCACAGCACCCCCAAGTGCTGACTTCCGCTCCTGTAACACGAGCTGATGAGGCACAGAGGTCTATGCCACAGTCACTTTGGGACTCGCTGGTGCTCAGTGGGTGCGCGTAAATACTTGAAAAATGAATGATGGATGAATGAACGAGGTGAGGGGCACCAGCTCCAGAACACAAGGAAAGGACAACATTTCCATTTTTCTAGCAAACTTACCAGTGACTGTCTGCCTCAACACTGAAGCAGAGATTTGCCTGGGAAACGGAGTGTTTTTTTTCTCTTTTGGGGGACAGATTTGATGGTATGCCCTCAGTCAAAATTATAGTTGTGATTTTTTTTTCCCCAAAAAGAATGTTTTAAAAAGAAACCATAGGGCCTCCCCGGTGGCGCAGAGGTTGAGCACTGGGTTGCGAAGCTGCCTGCAGCCTCCGTGGTGCCGGTTCAATCCCCGGCTGCTCCCCGGCCACCGGAGGAGGGTCCCGCATGGCGCGCAGACCTCTCCTGCCGCCCGCTGCTCCCCTCGGCAGTGTACTTCGGTCCTTCTGCCTGCTCTGCTCCCCGCTCTGGCTCTGGTGAATTCTCTCACCCTCCCGCGCTTCTGACTGTACCCAGTGCTTGTATAAATCAATCAATCAATCTTGTATAAATAAATAAATAAATCTTTAAAAAAAAAAAAAAGAAACCATAAAAATGGTCCACGACAAAGACATCTGAATCAACATTTGAGTCCAACTGTTTCTGGACTAACCCACACACCATGCTGTGATGAAAACGCCAGCAATAAGATCATATTTTGGGAAGTAATTCACAGAGAGCTGCTTATTCAATTTTCTATACTCAAGCGGTTCGAGATAAATATGTTCCTTTTGATTTCAGGCATAGGGGTGAGACTTCCAACAAACACTTGCAATTCCTTCGGCTATACTGTTCCTGCAGGCGGCATATAAACCGTCTTGGGGAGAGAAACCGCACGAGGGCAGACGCCTGCTGTCCACACTCAGGGGACACTGTGGCCCCGTGGGCGTAAACAGCTGCCGCTGCTCACGTTGCAAGCGATGGGCCGAGACGTGAACACGCCACTCTGGAGCCCCAACCTTCACTTTCCCCACCACCCCGATGCTCACCTGGTTGACAAGCACATCCCCCATCCTCTTGATGAGGAAGTTCTTCTCACTTTTATCCACCAGCGATTCCTTCTTCCGCTCCAGGATCCTCTGGAAGAACTGGCTGTGGATGCTGATCAGCTCCTCCAGGCAGGGGAACAGCTTCTCCACCGTCTGCTGCTCAAAGAGCAGGTCGGTCATCATGCCCCGGCTGTACACGTCGCTCATGATCTTCAGCGTGCGGATGTGGTGCAGCTCCGTCTGCATCAGCTCTGAGGAGGACAAAGCTGCTCACTGGCGTCTCCTTCAAACACCACCTGTCGCTGCTAAGAGCCCAGTGTGGGCTGAAGCCCCGCGGGTCCCACACAGACCTCGCCGGGCCAGGGGCTGGCCCTTCCCTGCAAGCACTTTCACCTCATTCCTCTGATTTCCACTACTCTTAAATGCTGGTTTTCAGGGGCCTTACAACCTTTCATATTTACTGTGCTCCGACTTCCTAGAGATGGCGATTGCTTGGTCTCGCTTCTAGAGGAGCAGAGGACTACACTGCACGTAAGCACTCACATTAAGTACAACATTCAACAAAACTGAAGCGAAAAGGACAGAAACATGATGTCTCCACACGGCAATGTTTTATAGAAAGTCTGTGAGGAGGCTCATCCTTGAAAATTGACGTCCCACTGCCCAACACATCAACAGCTAAGAAGGCAGGACCCCGCGGGCGGGCAGAGCAGGGCCTCACCATAGAGCACCTCTTGTCGTTTGACCACCTCCTTCTTCTGCTGTTTCAGGAACTTGCTGTCCACGATTCGGCTCCAGGACTCTGCTTCTAGCTGCTTCGATTCCATCTCAAAGTCTCCCATTAGCTGTCCTTCATTCATGTCTGTACCTACTCCTCAAAATACAAAAAATGAGCATCAGAACCGTGGGTCAGTGACCTCTGAGACAGCTCCACCAGTCTAAGAAGCCAAGCCCTTCCTCAGGGTGCTGGTTAATTCTGTCAGACACAAACCCCCTGCGTTTCCACAGGACATGGCCACAGAGAACATGTGCCAGTATTAGAAAAGCAGCAACTGTTGAATGACCTATACTCGGGACTTGGTGACGACTGATAAAAATTTCACCTCGATCAAACATGGTCAAGACGTGACTCCGACATGAAGAAGGAACTAGTAACCTTACATGCCAAGAGCCAGAAGTGAATGGACGGAAGTTTGGGGCAAGAACAAGCACTGCAGCAGGGCACGACCCCAGCCAATCAGTGGCTTCCTTCAGCAGTTAGCTGACAGCGGGTACGTCTGGACCAACTCATTTTAACACAAATGATGCCCTCAGAGAGCTTAGAGAACCTTCGCAAGAGGAAGGGTGGGCAGGCCCTTATTATTCCATTCACAATGTCCAGGGAGTGACACATCCCTACAGATGCATGAACAAGGCCAGGCCCCGCTGCTCTTACCCTCATCAGTGAGCGATTCTGTTGACTCATTGACCTTGCTGATTTTATTTAGTGAGTCTGTTGAATGAGACAGGAATTTCCAGGTGTTTGACATGTTCTCATCAGTGCCAACTCTGGAGACAAAACACATACACCATCAAATACGTTCCGATGCGCTGTGTTCTGCACTAAAATGAGGGCTTACTGACAGCTGGCTGTAAGTACTACAGAGGCTGAACACACGTTCTCTTGTCAGGTTCCCAGTAACACGTAACACAAACTGTTAATGCAGGGTGGAGGTGATTAACACCCCTGCAAACTTGAACTTTCTGAGCCCCGGGATTTTTTTTTTTTTTAAATGACAGGTAGTCAGGGAAGCTCTCTTCTCTCTGGTGCACACATTACATCAGAAATTTCTGCTTGAAACACTGTCTAGCCACTCCATCAGTTTTCCCCATTCCCTAAATAAAGACTGAGCATTCATATTAAACTGCATTCTTTGGACTGACTTAACCTTGACTCATCATCACAGAACAAATGTTGACACAAAAGCAAGCAAGACTCACTTAAAACTTCAAATTTTACTCGAAGGCTAACTTTTACAGTCATTATGCAAACAAACTGTGCTAACAGCTTTGAAAAGAAGGCCTTTGGATATTGAAAATACAAAGACAGGGCCTCCCCGGTGGCGTAGCGGGTTGAGTGCAGCGCTGTGAAGCTGAACGCAGCCTCTGCAGCACGGGTTCGATCCCGGGCCGGCCAGGGAGATTCCCACATGGCGCAGCAGACCTCTCCTGTCTCCCCGCTGCTCCCCTCAGCAGTGTATTTCAGTCATTCTGCTTGTTCTGCTCCCTGCTCTGTCTCTGGTGAATCCTCTCACCCTCCCACGCTTCTGGCCTGCACCCCAGCTATTGTATAAATAATAATAAAAAACAAAATACAAAGACAAAACAAAGTAAAAATACCTGAAGCTTTTCTTTTCATTTTTTCTTTTTTTTTCGTTTTTTTTAGGAAAAGCACACACTAGTCAGCAGAGTTTAGAAAATATGACAAAAGGAGGCTTTGCATTCTGTAGTTAAGGCCTCTCTCTCTCTCCAAGGAGGTGCAAGAGGGGCTTTGAGTCCTATATCTGAGATGACTTCTTAATCCAGTAGCAAGACAGGCATCTTGTCCAAAACAGCCAGTAACATCACAATCAGCCTGTGCCAGCCTCTGACATGGGGCCTGACCAGCCAGGGCCACAGCAGCTTAAAAGGATCACGGAGGAATTCAACACAGAGGTGAGTGGGAGCCTCACAGTAATAACCAACCCCCTAATCTCTCCCATGAAACCAATGTAAGAGTTGAGGGAAGGATGGAAAACAGATTTTGAAAGGAACAACAATAAAAAAAATACCAGGTTCACCTGCACCCAAAAAAAAAAAAAAAAATTGTGCCATCTGCAAATAGAAGTGGTCACTACCAAAGATCCTACTGGCACTTCTTATTCTCATCTAAAAAAGCAGAACTGTTAGAACGCAGGCTCTTTAAAAGCAGGGCCAGCCACGTACAGAGTCCAAGGATAACCTGCCCAGGGGGAAGGGACACCTCCGTTAGGACTGGCGGCCATGTTGGCATGGAAACGTGAGCTTGTGCTCTTCCTGGTGTTGCTCACTGTACCATGACTGGTTAATTTCATGTGTTTGGGGCGGGGGGGTCTTTTAGTCAAATGACACAGTTCCGTGCCCTGTCACCCAGATGGGAACTGGGCTGTCTTCAGATCCCACTTACCCAGCGATGTTCTGAATGGAGACACTTTTGGAGAGGGAGACACTTTGCTGAGACCGTCTACTGGCAAACAGCGTGGTGGCAGTGGTCTCGTCGGGCAGGAGGACCGCGGAGCGGGGGCGCTCCTTGGGCTGGGAGGCTGTGAAGGCAGAGAGCATACCGGCTAAGCATCACTTCTCACAGCCCTGGTTCTGACTCACTTACAGACGCCACATGGGAGACAACTCTCACTTGACTTGCCCAGGGAGTGGGGATGGTGCAGAAATGCCACAGCACCAATCTGGGAGGGTCTACAGACACTGCAAGCACCCACACCCTCTGACCCAGTAAGTCCAGCTTAGGGTATGTTCATTTCGCGAGACATACCTGCATCTGTTAGAATGACATCTGTCCCAAGTTACCCCATGCAATATTGTTGGTTAAAGTGGAAGATTAGAAGACTCAAGGGAGGAGCAAAAGATCAGCAATAATGGTGTATCATAGACCGAATCCTATTGTAGCTTTAAAAAAATGAGGATTTTCTCCACAAACTGATACAGGTCTCCAAGTAAGGGGAGGGGAGAAAAGGAGCCAAGCCAAGCGCATGACAGATTCTCTTTGAAACTTAAAGAAATCTCGATCCAAATTGGTATTTTAATAAAGAAATTTTGGGAAGAAAAAAAAATTATGAACAAAGAATAGTCGTCTGTGGGCTAGGATGGTGCTTAGGCAGTGAGGGTAAAGAATTGTATGAAAATATTCTACATTTAAAATTTCAAGCTATTTCAAAACAAGATTGAAAGAACTTTTGGGATAAAAGGAACCTCAGAGACAACTAAGGCACTTTTCTCTGGGAGTGAAGCACTCTCAGGTGCTCACCAGACGTGCGAGTCACTGCCCGCCCAGGCCTCTGGGCTGGGACCGAGTCCACACGTTGCATACACTGCCCACGGGCCCTCGGCACGCTGAGAACACAGGTCTGACCAGTTCCTTCCCTTTACCGATGAGGTCTCAGACACGTGTTTGATGTCACGTAGCTAATTTGTTCTCACACTGTTTCTCCTTAACGTGACCCAAGAGGGAACTGCAGGCCTGACTTAGCACCGAAGCGGTTACACTGGCATTTTCTTTGGTAAGTGGATGCATGCCCCAGACACGAGCTGCACCGTCCGTCCGTCCGTCCGTCCGTCCCCAGCCAAGTCCAGAGCTAGGACTTTCCAGTATTTCAGGGAGCCTGTAATTTAGTACAAATTAACCCCACTGTTGACTGCCAATTCCAGTTCCATGGAGTTGATACCGGGATGCACCAGAGCACGTCATGCTACGACACAGCAGACGCTCGCTGCCAGCAGCGCATGAGGAGCGGGCATGGGGCGCGGACCCGCAGAGCCTGGGCTCACCCTCGGGCTCAGAAGGAAGTCGGGGAGCAGATGAAGCCCGGGGCAGGAAGGAACGCTTGGGCTAGAAGAATGGTAAGGACATGGGTAGGTCAGAGAGAAAAGGGAACCTTCTAGTGGGGGGAAGTGTATGAACGGAGGCAGCAATAACCTTGGAGTACTGATGTGAGAAGGAGCGAAACAGAAGAGGCGCACGCGGAGGATGCGTCTGGCGACCAGTGGGAAGCCTGGGGCGACAGACTGGAGTCACGGATGCACAGCCCTGAGAGTCGTGAGGAACCGCTTTATCCAGCAGCAGCACAAGGCGGGGATAAAATCAGCTTTGCCTTGTTTGACACGGATCCTTATGCCCCTCAGATGAATGTGGCTTCATCTCCAGGCCTCGTTCCTTACTTGCGATGGGAGCAGCAAAAACTAACACTGACGGGGCCACAGTCGGTCTGATCCTTCAGTCTGACTCCCGCCCTGACGCTGTCCTCATCCTGCTCCACAGGAGCAAACGCAGCACGGGGCTAACAGTTCACACCTCCGTGACGCGGTGGAGTGGGGGCCCAGACCACACCCCGGGCTCCTAAGCACCGAAGGTGACAAAGCTGGAAGAACAATACTTTTTCTCATGGGGCAGCGGTAATTTGTCCACAAAGAATGAGGCATGAAACAGGTATTTACCCAAAAAAACAGGTATTTACTTTATCTGATTTGTGAAATAAGGGATAATATCAGAGCAAAGAAGTTAAGGACGATGAGACACGTGCGCGATGCTGGCGTGGGCCGGACGGCAGACGGACGTGGGTCTGGGTCCAGTGTAAGTCATGGGCACACAAAGATCGCCGTGACCAGCTTCCGCATCTAAGCGGGACTCACGAGCTCCTGCAGGGACTGGCGTGGACATTCTGCTGCTGTCTGGAAGGCCCCAGAGAAATTACGGTTTCAAGTTTGCGTGTGTGTCAGAATCACATGGAAGAGCGAGGAAAACACAGGTCACTGGGCTTCACCCCTGTGGTTTCTGCTTTAGCAGGTTGGGGGAGGGCCCAAGAATTTGTGCTTCTAAATGATTTAGGAATCAGACCTTGGAAAAACACTGCTGCAGGCAAAGTCTCATACGGGTTTCCACTGACTGACTACGAGGCTCTGAGGCATGCTTTATGGGGAGTGGAGAAACCTTAGGGATCCTGGGGGCACTGACCAGTAAAGTGGTAGATGCTCATGAAGGAATCCCACAGGACAGCCTCAAACAGCAGCTTACGTTTAACAACAATGCCACACTCCCAACACCCGGAGGCGGGAAAGAGCAGACGGGACAGGAGTCAGTCACCGTCTGACTTAAATTCAACACACATGACAATGAGTATTTTCAAACACAGGCACATGGCTAAAGCCACAGCAGATCAGAAAGACACACACAGAAAACACCGAGCAGGCACGGAAGAGGGAGAGGAGCGAGATGAAGAATGCTAGGGGGGGCCATGAAGTAAGCCGAGGGGAGCCTCCCACAGGTGGGCAGTGGCGGTGTGCGGGCGTGTGAGTCAGGTAACTCCAGCGTCACCTGAGGTCCCTGGGCAAAATGCACTATGGTCTGAGGCGGAACTGGGAGATGTGCAGGGTCACGTGCTTGGACACACTGGGCCAAGGTGCTGCCTCTTAAGCAAAAACGCAACTCCAGAACCCCCCAAAGAGGGCTTGACGGGCTAGGTTTGTAGTCAGTGAACCCGTAGCCTTCTCGAGCTGACCCCAGAATGGGCATTCCCACCTCGATGAAGGATGCAGAGGAGCAGCGCAAATGCATGCATGTCTAGTCCTGCCCCGGGGAGGCGGGCCGAGCCACTTACTCTTGTTTCTCATAATGACCGTGGGCAGCGATGACGTGTCCTGCGCCTGGAGGCTCCCTTTGGGCTGCTGAAAGAAAGAAGAGAAATACATGAAGTCCCTATTTATGATTTACCTTCTACCTTAACTAGGAAGAGAGCCAGTTGCTCCTACTCGCCGGCTCTGGTCCTCACCGCGGGGCCTCAGCAACATGGGTCCCCACCCTGACACCCCCGCGGGACCTCAGGACAGTGGACCTCAGGACAGGACAGCTCGTTTCACAGCAGCAGCATGTCCTGTTAAGAGTTCAAGACACCAATGCGATAGGCCCAGCAAAGCGGGCGGAGAAGGATGGGACACGTGGAGCTGCCCATCCCGTCTCAATCTGCAGCCACTCGGCTCACAGCCGCTGGCCATCCAGCCCCATGGGAGTGGAAGCCAGTCGCCTGGCCAGGAGCGAGGGCCTGATGGATGAACCACAGTCCTGCTTCGAGGCTGCAGGGCGAGCGTGGCACCTACATTCCAGTGGGGAGCACGGCCCACACGGGGACGCAGGTGCAGAGCTAGTCCTCTGTGCCCCGGGCCAGTGCTGCTGAGTGTGGACCTCAGGCCAGGCCAGCACACACAGCAGCAGCATCGGGAATTCGGCAAAATGCAAGTTCCTGGCCCCAACCTAGAATCCGAACCCAGTAGGCTGTCTTCGAACAGCCTCAAGGTGATTCTGAGCTGGAGGCCACAGCACTGGACAAGTGTGTGCGTTAGTGAGGCGCCCACGGCACGCTGAGCAGCTGGAGAGCGTCCTCTGACAAGGAACAAAGACAAGCACACGGGCTGCTGGAGGGGCCCCCCAAAGAGCCCACCTCCGCCGGCGGCCCGCGTGCTCAGGCCAGGCCCGCCAGACAACGGGCATGTCCTGCCTCTGCCCCGGGCTCAGGGCCACCTGTATGCATCCCATGGAGGAAAGCGCAGACTGGGGACCGACTGTGCCTGACCGGACACTCCCCGGCTCCAAGCCCATCTCCACTAGGGGGACTCCCGGCCCCAGATGAAGAGGCCAAGGTGTGAAAAGTAAAGTGGGTCTTGGACACAGTGAGGAAACCCCTTCAACAGCACCACAGAGGTGCTCAGCCACAGAGGGCAGCCATCTGACGCGGAGAAGTCCTGAGGCACTTCGTTTTCTCCAAGGCTCCAATTCCCAAGTTAAGATCGTCGCTCACATTGCAGAGAAAACAATTTTGGTTCTTTTGGTCTCAAAGCTTATACCAGGTGATCATAAAATCAGCAAAAACCACAACCGCAGCTCTCACTTCCAAAGACTTTTACAGCTTAACCCCTTTTTTTTAACCCTTCTTTTAACCGGAGCATCTTACCTTCATTTTGACCTTTGCACAGGAGGCCAGATTTTCCCGACAGCCTTTGTGGACAAAAGCACTGCAACCTGAAAAGAAGCAAACCCAAGGGAGGTCAAGAGAGCAAACAGAGCCGGCAGTCGACCCCGCGGGCAGCCCACGGGTCTCCTGGTCAAGTGACGCGCGCCTGAATGTGACTCTGACGGCTGCACAGACTGCAGGCCTCCGCTAGGAAGCGCCTGTGATGTCACTTGGAGGAGGAGAAACAAGAGCAGATGCGATTTCCGATTAACAGAAACTAGAAGTCTGGAACTCGGGCAGGAAGCGGAGCGGCTACTAAACTAAAAGTAAAAGTATCTGCGCCCATCCCAGTCAGCTGTGAGTGCAAGTCAGACAAGCGCGAAGGCCAGGTCCTGCTGCGAAGTGCAGCGGGAATCCCAACGTCCTCCTCTTTGCGTCTTCCTACATGTGGGACCTGGACGACCTCGAGCTTTCCAAAACCCACCTGCGTCAAGGAAGGTCGTAGAACTGCCCAGAGCACTTTGGGAAGCCTGACTGGAGAGGGCGGGAGACCCCCCCCCTCCCCCACCCCGAGAGGAAGCAGAGACCAGTTTGCCAAGAACGCTCAGGTCTTGCTGCTCACTGGGGTGAAGGGTCAGCCCTCGGCGCCCCGAAAGGGTCAGTGCACCCCGGCTGCTGTGCGGCCACAGACCAGACCTGTGCCGGGCCGCCAGAGGTGAAGCAGCAGCTGACAGGAGAGCTGGCTGTGGGGACAGGGTCAGCCTTCATCTGGCAGTGACAGGGAGTGGGGTGGCCCGGGGCGACGCCAGAAGGTGACGGGCAGAATCCTAGCCCCAAGGTCTCCCCACCCCCTTCCTCAACAGCGCAATGCCGCCTGCGTCACAGGTCTCTTCCACAACGCCACCTATCACATCGCACTGTGGTTGCTTCATGGGTTTCTCCTTCACTGACGCCTCCAGGGCAGGGCCCACTCCGCCCACTGAGAATCTTCCACCAAGTCTAGCACAGTCCTGAGTCATGGTGCCCGTGCACATGTCCACCTCAGGCCCGTCATCTGCCGGCGTCTATTTTATGCTAAGTCAAGCGCCCAACCCTGGATGACATGCGAACTATCAACTTGTTAACACTGGAAGGGATGCAAGAAGAGCATCACCCTGAATCTGATTTAGGCGCTTGCTCTACGAGCAAACAAGACTCTATGCAAATCCCCCCTCCAGAAGCCTCGGTTCCTCATCTATAGAATGAAAGGAGGGGCCCTATCCCCCCCCACTCCTCGGTCTGGGGTTCAGCAAGACATTTCTGGCTCCTTTTCTTGCAAGGATAACTTTTCAAAGTAGATTCTGCTGAACTGTTTCTAACCTTCATGCTGCAGAAGCGGTTTTCACTTTAAATTGTCTGAGTCATCACCAGGACAGACCCGAGTGAGCACATGTCAGGAGGACTTGGTCATCAACGGCTCTGCCTGGAGGAACACGGCTGGAGGCTCCCCTACAAATGAAGCCTCCAGAAGCACTCTGCTTTTGTCAACAGGATGTCCTAGACCTGGACCAGCTGTAGTCCTGGGCTGGGGTGAGGCTTCGATTTTCGTTCCTGGGCAGACCCTTGTCTCCTGCCTAGCCCCCTCCACCCCACGTGAACAGTCACTGTCTGGTAGTGCTTCGACTCTAATAAACAAAAAGAGACATTCACGTTCACTCACAAAAGCAGCATGGGAAAAGGTTCTCCTGGAAAAGATTCCCAAGGAAACCAAGCAGGGGAGAAGCCCGAAGGTCTGATCCCAGTCCCAGCTGCTGCAGCCATTGCTTTCCCCTCCAGGAGCCGACCAGGCTGTGCGGGAGCCACCCTCCCCGCCACTTTTACGGGATGCTCAGGGCCATGTGCACCTAAGCTGTGAAGCTGCTGTAGAAGGTACAGCGGGAAAGAGGTCACAGACCCCCGAATATTAATGCCAGGGTTTCTCAGCAACACCCTTCCCAGGCCCTACCAGGGCTTTGCAGAGAGACCCCTGGGGAGTGAGTAACTCATTCTATGAGCAAACGGAAACATTTTAAGCATGTTTTTCTTAGGAACTGGAAACCACTGGCCCTCATTAATGTGTCTGGCTCTTTGATAAAGAAGTAACAGAAAGAAGTAGAATCACAAATGGAATCCCCATAAACCGCTGTGATGCCAAGGCCCTGTGGCCTTCTGCGCAACATGGAACTCATGCCCCAGGGTCTGAACGCCAGTGACTTGCGACTGAAGACTTGAGGCCCCGCTAGCCACTGGTCTTCCAGACCTTCCAGAAGGAAGAATTCCTTCTGGCCTTCCAGAAGGAGTCAATGAGGTAAGAGGTGGGCCCGACCACTTGTTTCTATAGATTTGTATTCGAAACCTTTTGCCTTCTTGCTTCCCCCTAAATCTCCAATGGCTCCCCCTCATCTTAAAGGCAAAACTCGAACTTCTTAGTTTGGAAAGGCCTGTTGTCGTGGCCCCTTATTCTGCCCACCCACTGGACCGAGATGCTGGACCCACAGGACAAAAAGCCTGACAAAGGAATGGAGGCTCTTTATTCAGTTCCTAGAACAACTGGATGTCCCTTCCTATCCCCAGCAGAACCCGTACCCCAGAAAGGGCTGGCTCCCTCTCCGTTCATGCAGCCCCCCAGGGCCCAGAGCACCCCCGCCCCCCACCGCCTGTCTTTCACAAGTCCCTGCTCAGCTGGAGTCTTTCAAATCTGTCTTGTCTAATCCCACCCCCCTTCCAGGCCTGGCGAGGTGAGGGCCGCCCGCTGTAGGGGGGCGCGACTCCCTTTTTTACGCACAGCCCGATGCGACAGACGCTCCCGCACAAGGACGCTGAGGCGAAGTTTCTATGAGAGAAATTGGAAATAACCCGAAAGATGCAGTGGTGGAGCAGATTCTCCGTGTCTGTAAAGAGATGCCGCAGGAGCGAGCCGTCAGCGACCCAGACCCATCTGTTCAGCAGGCTGAGCCCCAGAGGTACCATCTACATGAACTAAAATGAGGATGAAACACTATCTGAGATGAGATGCCAGAGCCTGGACTAGATACACCGAACTCACAATTATTTATTATTGGGGAGGCAGGACGAGCAGGGGGATCAACAGGGAAACAGGAATTCACCGTTACCTATAATGGTTAATAACATGAAACATTTCATCTAAAGCAACATGACAAAAAAGTTGCTTTTTTAATTTCATCTTCAGCGGTGGGTACATAAAAGCCTGTCGTGTTATCCATGCACTACTTTGCATTAATGTTTTTAAAAGAACCATCCCACAAAGTTCTAATGTCCTTCCAAGTTTTTTGAAATCCCTCAGAAACATTTCCTTGTCCTTGAAAAAAGCCAATCACACCCGTGATAAACTAAAAACACTTTTCAGTTAGATTTCACTGTCTCATATTCCAGTTACAAAAACGCATCTTCTTGCTTTCCTGAAGATCAGTAATAATTCAGGCACCGGTGCCCATCAGCAGAGGCGGTGGACCTGCCGGAGAACCGGCCAGTAATCCTGACCTACGGAAGTGACCAAGCGGACTGTGGGCAGATCTTGGCCCAAGCTGCATTCCACCTCCTATTCCTTTCTCCCCCATAGCTGCGTCGCCCCATAGAGAATTAGGCCATGGTGATTTTTGAGGGGGTGGGGATTATCACCTCAAACAGATGTTAATAGTAACCAAGGTCTCAGGCCAATGTTTGAAAGTGAAAAAACAATTCCAATCGATGAATCAGAAAAGCAGAAATAATTTTTTAAACATGCCTTTCTAGTAAGCAACTTATCACAGAAAATTTGCTTTTTAATTAACATGTCCCCAAACCCACAAGCCAGCTGAACTTTACAATACGGCCACAAGTCTTCATGGTAAACAGCTCGGACGAACGTCTGCTCAACAAGCTCAAGTGTGGACGTGAAAACGCTCCGCTTTTCATCCAGTCGGCCTGGACCGGGGTCACAGCATTGGGGTGTGTGGGGGTGATTAGAAGCTTCAGCCCCACTGACATCAGCCCAAGTCATGCGGTTGAAACGTAATGCTCTGTTATGGAAAACAGCCAGTTATCAAGAACATGAGGACTGAACCAATCTAGCACATTTGCAAGCTCCTCTGCCACAAACCATACCACATCATCAGGGAGAGCAACAACTGGCCTGCCTTTTTTTTTTTTTAAAAAAAAAAAAAAAGATTTCCGAACAGCAGAAAGCAAGCACTATCCACTACGTTTTCATTTTTCAGAGGTCTTTAAAAAGTCTCAGCACAGTGGCTTATGGGAACAGAGCCGACCCCTAATTAGATTCCTCTGACCTTAAAAACAAACAGCTCAACCTTCAACTGACATCAGCCCAAGACACGAGGTTAAAAACGTACAAGGAGGCATCGGGCAACACAACATGAAGCGAACTTGTCTGACGGGCGCTCCCGTGGGTGGCTGCTGTCTGAACCCCTGCCTCCAGCCACCACCGCCTGCAGCTCTTAGGGGCCGTTTCTCAGCACGGAAAGCAGGCGACCTGCCTGAGAGACGAGCTTAGAGGCCTCGCGCCAGCCGGGCTCTCCTCACAGAGGGTGAAGTTCTAAGGCTTCACAGAGTCACCGAACGGCGTGACTGGGGAAGCGAGGGCCCGAATCCCCAGCCCCGCGAGGCGGTGGGAGGGAGGAGCCTCCCCAGGCTTCAGTCCACGGTCACTGCCGAGTAGGCTGCAGAGCTCTGCCCACTAGAAACACCCCGGAGCAGCAGAACAGACCTGGGGGAAATTCTCAGGTCCTCCTCAAGGAGGCAGGTTGACAAGTCACCTAAGGGCAGAAAGGTGCCACTTCTCCCTCTCGTTTCACGTTTAACCGAGGAAACAAAACACGCTGAAGCGCGAGCACTTTAGAAATACATGTTCCACAATTCTTTCTGCAACTGCTCGTTTAAAATCTTTGGGCAGTGTGAGGTGCTGCCTATTGTGACCGACAGAGCCGACATACAACAGGCGTGTGTGATATTCGTCGTGGCTGGTGTAATAACCACAGTTCGATGCACAGAAGCAGAGGGAAGCCACAAAAAAAAAAAAGAGCCAATCGTCTTAGCTGGGGCCTCCTAAGAGCAGCTTTCTGGAGAACCCTGAGCAGCAGAAGGCAACAAGCTGCGCGGGCTCTGCTGGAGTAAGAACCGACTCCCGATGCAGAGCCCTTCCTTCACCTTCATCTCCTCTAAACAACAAACTTCCTTTCTTCAATCAGCCATATGTACTTCGCTCTCTCATATAAGCAATCCACTCTAAATGCCAGAAAACTGTTTATCTAGAGAGCTGCTTTTCCAGATAAAATCCAAAGCGAAACCCAACCATCACACACACATGCTCAACTCATCTTACCTACTTAGACAGCAGCTGGTCCACTTGTTTATTTTGTTTAATCAAGAGAAACAACCTACCACAAAAGTGCTCAGAAGCTGCTAACACAACAGAAAATAAATCAACAATAATCCCGGGATCGTTTTACATCTGTTTAAAGCAAACAAAACCACTGGCAAAATCCCAAAGCCCAAACATAACAGATTCTTTACCCTGAAGAACTCCACCACGTGTTCCCAAGGCCAAATTATTTGTGGGATCTGGAAAGAACAGTTGATTATTCAGGGGAAGCTTTCTGTGCCTGCCGAAGAAAGGAAAGGAAAGAGAGTCCTTCCCCAATAAAGTAACCTAACCCTAAGGCACAGTAGGGTTTTTGGTGGTGGAGAAGGGGTTCAGGGAGGGGAGAGATGGAGGCCAGGTTTTTACTAAGTTAAATCACTTTGAACTAGGCCTGCCGGGGGCGTCAGTCTTTCCTTCCACTGCTTTGCTTCCCTTTCCTGGGCTCAGACCGCAAGGAACTCTGTGGGTTCTGCCCCTGCGGCTTCCTGTGTAAGAGCAAGAACGTTTCCACAGGTGCCTCCAGACTCCGCCTTCACCCACGATTATTTCAGACTGTCCAGGTGTGCTCCAGTGCAGTCAGGACAGTGACTTGTCTTAAAAGACCCTGTCCTGCTGACTACCTGCAGAGAAGCCACACTAACGTGACTGAGGACACTGGGGAGACAGGTACGAGTCAACACCAGCCTTCGTGACACAGCACCGCGATGGCCTCTGGCTGTTCTTTCTAAACCAAGACTCAGACCTGGCTGAGCAACTGGTTGGTGGCCTGAGGCTCCCGGGGTCAGCAAATTGGGTTATGCTAGACGGAAAAAGGGAAGCTAGGAGCTCAGAGATTTCCCAGGAGGCAAGGGAGTAACTGGAGGTCACCACATTTTCTGAGACTCCTGAGGAAGCTCCTGAAGAGGAGAAGGGATGCAGGAAGAGAAGAGATCCTAAGTCCCCAAATTACTCAAATTTTCCACTTCCTTTAAGATAGCAGATGGTGCTTCATGCACACACACATCACTGCAGGCTGCTCTGCAGGAAGCTGGCGAGAATCAGCCATTACTTTTGTCCCTCTGGGGAGATGACTACATGTTGTTCCTTGGCTTTCAAGCCTTGCCTTTTCCCCATCTTTTTATAAATGGCAGGCAGCACGGTCACACGCAAACCTTCAAGTCACTATGAAGCGCTGAGCCTACCTCAACACCAGCTCTGGAGCTGGGTGCAAAGCTGTGGCTGCAGCGGGGAGCACTAGGTTTCTGTGGGGGGTGCCATGAATATTAGGGTAGCAATCAGGCCAGCCTGTCAAACAATTTTTGTTGTGCGATTCAGTTTAAATTTCAAAAACATTAATTATTTTTCCTTTTTTTTTTTTTTTTTGGCTGAGCAGGTAACAACCAGTTGGTGACAGGTCAAGCTAACCATAAATGAAGGGCTGCTGGCAGCGGATATCAGGACACTCCCACCTGGAAATGGCCCCTCCAGACAGGAGACTCTTGTGATGACACGTGGCCTCCACACCCATGAAATGATTTGTTTCCAAATCACGGAGCAGGCTCCGTGCTCCTTGGGTGACCTAATATTAAAATGCACAAGTTAAACCAAAAAGTCCCGCCCTATGAATAAACGCGGTTAGCGTGCAACAAGCAGCCCATCTGCTCTTTTACTGGTTTTCCACGTTTAAGAGGTCTTAAATGAAATAAAACATTTTTACGTTTTAGGTAATCAAATATGAAAAATATTTAGTATAGATTTTAGAGCTAAATTTTTAACATTTACTTTTAAAATCACTGAGGACCAAGAAGCTTTTTCTGAGGGATCCAAAGGTGAGGATGAGCAGGACACATGCGCCTCACACACCTCACAGCGCCTGCCTGGCTTCTGTGCCGTTCTGAGTACCGCGTGGGCTGCTCTGCATCCCTGGACCATGCCCGTCTCCAAAGGCATCCCAGAACCCCTCTCCGGAAGAAACTCTGGCACACGGGATATGTGACAGGAACAGCACAGCAATCCAACAGGCTGTGGGGCCCGAGCTGTGCTTCATCAGGAAGGGTGTCTAGTGAAATTATTTCTATTTACGTTTAACAGGAAGCGGGAGCAAAGAAGCGAAAGTGGGCTGAGGATGCCTACATTGAAGAAATGCATTCTCCTGCATCACCGTGGATATTTTTGCTATCTGACAAATAACAAACCAGTTGCAGGCTTAGTTCTTAGTCTTTAAAGTCTAGTGTAGACTAAGACAGACTACAGTCAAGGAGGGCAAAAATCTGATTTTTTTAAACCTAGAAATAATGTATCGATAAGATACCTGTGTCAGTATAAGATGGAACCGATACTGACGTAAACGAGACAGCTTTTTCCAATAGGAACTAACTGAAAAGTTGTCTGGAGCTGGTTATGACAAGTGTTGTCACCTACTCACTGTAACAATAAACCAACGGTCCTTCAACTTAATGGACTCTAGATTCGGTGGGTCTTCAGAAAGGATTTCCACCTCTTTCATCCCTAAACCTGCTTATAATGTCTCACGTCACAATTCAGAACTGAGATTGTGGGGATCAACCGTCCGGTTTCTCGTCAGCCTGGCATTATCAGAACTGCTTCAGCCTTTGTCAAGCGGACACTTTTCCAGCAATAATTCTGCTCTTTGTCTAGTAAATTCTTGAATCAAATACCAACATACTTTGCTCTTTCACTGGAGACCAGCTGACAAATCATCAGAAAAACCTTTGAAAGTATCAGTGAATCAGTTTACATGTAGTTTTAACACATACAAATGCTATATAAGTATGTTCTTCAAAAATTCACCAACAGAAGCATAACATAAAATCTTGGTACACTCAACTTCTTCCTCCTAATGTTGTTCTTCAATTGTCAATGGTTGGGTGTACATCTTTCTAGACAGTCTTTTATATTTACATAAACAATTACTAGTTACTTATTTGCTTACTATAAGTGGGGATCTCACACACAGCTCTACGAAGGTCTTTCTCCTCCCAATAGATCTGCAAGTGATCTCAGCAGACCTGCGGCTCTAGCTCAGCACCTGGTCTGTGGGCTGAATTCCTATCCCATTTCTGGGACTGGAGTTTCAGTGAGGCACAGACATGCCCCTTCTTTATGTGTAGTCTAGGGCTGCTTTGGTGTTGGAAGGGCAGAGCCGATGAGTCACAAGTGAGATCTGACGGCCCATAGTCTAACGTAGTCGGGACTCCTTGCTTTAAAGGGCATGATGCTTCCTGACCCTTGCTTATTCTTTTTAGCATGGAGCCCAATGTCCCCTCAAATGACATTTTATTTGATTGATGGATGCTTAGGTATCTCGTCATTTTTCTGCACCATGAATATTGCTGCAGTGAGTAAGCACTGACCTCAAGTCATCAAGATTTCCAAGATAATCACTCGCACTCTCCTTACTAAAGCCAACAGAAGTCACCTTCCTCCTTTACAACAAGTATAACTCAGAACAAAGCACCGAGGCTGCAGCACACTAAGATGCTTGAAAAATTATGATGGGTATGAGCTCTTTGTAGGTACCGGTCAAGGATGTCATTTTTTGTTAAACACACCCCCTGTGAGCAAGCCACCCAAGGTGGTTTTCCGCTGGTCAAGAACAGGTCAGCACGGAACACCTATTTGCACGAAGTGCCTCCCTGGCCGTCACCATGACCTGACCCTGGCAGGCGGTTCAAGCATATTCATATTCTCTCAGTACCAAGGGGAGCACATACAACCCAACACTGGGTGGGCAGCTTTTGGGTCTGGGGCTGCAAGACTATATTGATGCTAATGCAGATTTTTGGAAAAGGCAGTGGATTAGGGACAAAGAACAGGGTCTTTGAAACCGAGGCGACCTGAAATAACGCACAGGCGCTATGTTACAGGTATAGCGATGGTTTCTTCCACGATACTTAAAGACATTTAAAAGGCTGCTTCTCCACATACATGGGGGCCGGGTAGGGCTGGGCTGGCAGGAGGCCCCACTACTCACTCGCACAGGCGTAGGCATCTTTGTTGGTAAAAGGCTTCATGCACTGGCTGCAGCTGACCGGACCCACCGTGGGGACGGAGCTGAAAGCGTGCCCATTCAGAGTCTTCTTGTCCTTCTCCTTCTCTTTAGAATCTTTCTCCTTCTCTTTGATTTTATCTTTTTCTTTTTCCTTTTCCTGCCGAAGGAAAGAATCGGTGTTAACTGAACCGCAGAAGACCTTCCCTCACCTGCGCACCCAATGGCATGTGCCAAAAGCGATTGGCAAATGTTCTGGGTATAAGTCAGGGTCGCTTGTCTTTGACTCTTTTTTTTTTTGGTGAAGTTGTGAGCAATCAAGCTACATTAGAAAGCCCCTGTGAAGACTGGCAGGCTACATCGTTCTGTAGCGGCTTATTCATACCCACATGCCCAGCGTCCAACACTAGAAGAGGCTTCTGGTGCTGGGGGAGAAGGGTCTGGGGTGGCCATGACTCCCCCCAGTGACCCAAAGCATGACCCACACAGGAGGCAGCAGAGAGCTTTTGGCCAGTGGCCGGCAGGGAGCAGGGCAGTGAGTTCTGGAACTAGGTGAGGGCCAGGAAAGCAGACAGGGCAGCAAGAGGAATTATCTGAGGTTGCTCTGACTTCTCACATCCACTGCACATCCTGAGCAAGGGCGCCTTTCTGATGTATTCTCCCTCACTCCAGCCAGAAACAGCAATCATGCCCCACACAGACGTTTTGTTTTATTAACCACATCTGCAAAAGTTCATGGCTACTCGCTTTGGACCAGCTTTCAAACTGGGGGAGGTGGAACTAAAAGCCTGAGAACTTAAAAGAAGCAATGATGAGCTAGACTTTAGGGAAAAACCTAGAGCAGCCAGGGGCAATTAAGGATGTGGGGACCAGGGTAGGACAGCGTGCCCCAGGTCCTTCAGAGAGATTATTAGGCATAGCCCTCGCTGGTTCATCAGTGCCAGTGGAACATTTTCCTTTCAAACCAACTTGGACCATTAACTACAATTCACAGAGGCTGGAAGAACACATTCATAGCAGTTGTCATGACCGCTAACTTCCGAGTAATGGGTACCCCAAATGTAGCGGTCGCGACAATTTCCAAATGCCTTCCACTCTGAATCCACACCTTCCGCATATGCTATTTCATCTGACTCAGTAACTCTGAAGTGGGTGGGTGGGCAGCACGCTGAGAAGACAAAACTGTGCAGGTACCATGTGCCACATGCTGTCACAAACAGCTCACATGTCACCACCACCCAGTCAGGTTCAGTGCTAGTTTTTATCTCCAGTTTAAATCCTAAGGCTCAGAGATGTTTAGTAAGAGTCGTGGTCCTGCGCCAATAACTGCACAAGCTGGAACTAGATCCTGACCTGACCGAAGTTAAAGCTTGGCTCCCAGCCGGGGAGGCTGTTGACTCACAAAAGCTCACACAGCAAATGGGCAAGTCACATTCAGGACAGGGTTCACTGACTGCTCCCCACTACTCACTGAAATGGTGGCTCTCAGTCCAGATTCATGGAAAGCCCTTTGCTAACAGCACACATACAGTAAAAGTCTAAGAGCCAAACTGCTACATTTTAGATGGAAAAAATGAGGAGGGAGGAATATAAATTACCTCACTTCACAAAACAGGAAACTGCTGAGAGAAAATGAGCAACTGCTAAAGGATGCAAAACTGTAACAGATAATAACAAAAACTGAGTCTTCTCAATTTCTTTCTTGTAACTAAATTCTGCTGAAAGCTTCTCCCCCCCCCTTTTTTTAAGATTTATTTATTTATTTATACAAGCACTGGGTACAGTCAGAAGTGCGGGAGGGTGAGAGGATTCACCAGAGCCAGAGCGGGGAGCAGAACAGACAGACTGACTAAATACACTGCTGAGGGGAGCAGAGGGCACGGCAGGAGAGGTCTGTCACGCTATTTGGGACCATTCCTGCTGGCCGGGGATCGAACCGGCACTGCAGAGGCTGTGGGCAGCTTCACAGCCCAGTGCTCACCCACTGTGCCACCAGGGGAGGCCCTGAAAGCTTCTTTAAGCATAAAATGTGAGCTGAAAAGCATCTGACTTTGCTCAAGTAAGCTAGAGCTTGCCCCAAGGGTTAGAAGAAAGAACTGTCTGTGTCCAGTGCTCAAGGCCAGCACCGGCCGGCTCCCAAAATCAAGCACCTCCGCATCCAGACGCGTCTTCCCAGCACCACCACAACACAGGCGCATGCCCCCTTCCGAGCTGGTCCGAATCTAGAGCTGCAGAGAAGCTGGGCGCTTACCTCCCCATGCTTTGGTCCTATAAATTTCACTGTGATGAGGGGCACTTCAGGGAAGCGACCCCACATTACCGACATGGCGCGACCCCCACGCCAGGAAGCATGCGCTCAGAGAAAGGGGGGCGCATGCCCCTAAGAGCCAAACTCTTAGGCCCCGCGCAGCAGCTACCAGCTGCCCTGAGAGAAATCACCTTAAGCGGAAGCCAAGACAGACTGGTTGACAAAGGGAAGAAGGGAGGGCCAGACCGCAGTTTCCTCAAAGCTAGCCTTAACTATTTGCATGCTGCTGGTAAAAGCGACAAAGACACCGGAAGCACCGGAAGTGAGCCAAGGGAATGCCCCAAGGGCAGGCTGTGTGGACAGCTCCTCTGCCAGGAACCCTGGTAAGGAGGGAGGACAAGTTGTTGTTTTTTTGTTTTTTTTTTTATTTTACTTTTTTAATTTTATGTAATTCTTACATCATTTTTCATTTTTTGCACAATGTATGCATTTTCATTTTGGTTATATTCCCCATATAATCGCATCCCCCCCTTATTTTGACCCTAGTCCTTCCTTTCCCACCCCGCCCCAAGTGTGTCTCTGGTTTATAGCTGCTTATTGATTTTGTTTTTTCCTTATTATAATTAGTCTTTGTCCTGGTCCCTTATTTAGGTTTTCTAGATTCCTGCTATGAGTGAGACCATCTGGTATTTTTCTTTTTCTTTCTGACTTATTTCGCTGAGCATGATCCCTTCCAGCTCCATCCATGTTGCTGCAAACTGCATGTGTTTATCTTTTTTGAATGCTGAGTAATATTCCATGGTGTATATGGACCACATCTTCTTTTTTTTTTTTTTTTTTAACATTTATTTATTTATTTATACAAGCACTGGGTACAGTCAGAAGCGCGGGAGGGCGAGAGAATTCACCAGAGCCAGAACTGGGAGCAGAGCAGGCAGAAGGACCGAAGGACACTGCTGAGGGGAGCAGCGGGCGGCAGGAGAGGTCTGCGCGCCATGCGGGACCCTCCTCCGGGGGCCGGGGAGCAGCCGGGGATCGAACCGGCGCTGCAGAGGCTGCGGGCAGCTTCGCAACCCAGCGCTCAACCGCTGCACCACCAGGGGAGGCCCTGGACCACATCTTCTTGATCCAGTCATCTATTTTTGGGCATTTGGGTTGTTTCCAAAGCTTAGCTATTGTAAATAGTGCTGCTATAAACATAGGGGTGCAGGTGCCCTTTGGAATTGATGTTTCTGTGTCCTTTGGGTAAATACCTAGAAGTGGAATTGCTGGATCATATGGAAGCGCTATCTTTAGTAGGTCAAGAAATCTCCACACAGGGAGGACAAGTTTTTTAAAGACACCATTCTTTAAGGAACCCTTCTACTTGAAAACTGAGTCCTCACTTTATAAAAAGCTGCAAGTTTTCTAAGAAAAATATTCAGTGAAGTTACTTGTGGTGATTGGTTGTTTTCTGAAGTCTGACTTTCGTAAGCTTAACAGCAGCCAAAAATGCTCTATCTGTGGGCAGGGGAAACAGAAGCAAACAGTCTTTAAAGGGAAAGAGTCAGGTAACAGCTGCACTAGGATACTACCAAGGAAGAGGATTTCCACTTTCTAGACTGGCCTTGTAGACAGCTATTAGGAAAAAATTACAGAGCACTCCAGACAGCATGCAACACGCTGGGATCAAGCAAATGTCATGTGTAGATCTTTAGTCAGAAATGAGACAGGACTGCACTTAACCCTGACTCAAGCCTTTGCAAGTAACTCCCTACTTACTTGCAAGTAACTTCCTTTGAAAGGCTAAGGGTAGATAGAGTTCTTCCTGCACAGACCACAGAGCTGGGAGCTCAATGTCATCCTGAAGCTATGGAGCAGCAGAGCAGGTGGGCAGAAATGTAACTCTTGGCCCCAACACCGACTCTGAGTCAGATTAAGAAGCTACCTAAAACATTTCTAAGCATCTGCTAGTTTTCCACAAAGAGGAAACTTAGAAAGCCAGTGTGATTATGATGTTTAAAGAGGGTCACCTCACTGCCTTTATGTACCCAAACATGATGCCTGTTAGGGTTTAAATTCTCTACAGCAAGTCAACTTACTAAGATAGAAACTGTACCCCTTCTCAAAGATACTGAAAGACAAAAGCAGAAACTGCCAGTCTTCCTGTTAAACTTCCTGTTTATGCTCAACCCCCCTTAAAAAACATTTCAATATATTTATTTACTGATTCTAGCCAGTTACTGATGAATCTCAAAAATGACATGTGAAGGCTCAGTATTCAGTTTCTTATATATATTACATATATATTATCAATTTCTCCAATGTGTGTGTATATATACAATCAGTTTTCACATATATATAAAAAAGCAGACAAACACATCACCTAGGAATGTGAATAATCTGCTGCCGAGTGGTTGACTTTTGGTTCTGTGAATAGTAGTTAACTGCTTATAACCACAAGTTAACATACTAACTGGAATATACACCTAGGTTAATAACTATAAACCATTTTACACAAATACATGTATCATGCTTAATTGTAAGGAAAGCAGATTTCCAAACCATTCTTAGAGACTTTGCTAAGACTGAAAAGTGGCAATTTAATGTAATCTGCACTAAATGCTTAGTTTCCCTATGCAGCAATGGTTATCCAGGACAACATCTTAATACAAATAGATTTAGATGCTCCCATAGCATCTCTTCACACACTCTGAAAGAAGTCAAATGTATCATTTTCATTAAGAAATCAGTGCTAACATCTACAGTAGCACTGAATTTTTTAACACGGAAAAAAAAAAAAAACATTTTAAAGGTAAGAAAACAATAGTATCATCATGCTAAGAAAATCTAATATTCACTTATTTTGGTGTTACTGTTTAGAGAATAAAACTCTCTGTATGGTGAGCTCTATTGTCTGTGAGTATAAAAAACAGGGTACAAACAGGACTTAACACAAGTTGTTTCACTACTTCCCCTATTTCTGAGTATGTTTGGCTACACTGACAAAAATGGACGGTTGTAAAACAATCGTAAAACAACAATTACCAAAGGGAAACTCGAGCCTTTTAATGATAGGCCACCAGGGTACTCTCTGCACCTGATAACGACTGCAGTGCAGGGCTACAGATCTACTGTTCTCTGAGACACCCTTGCTGGAGACAGCACAAGCCCCTGAAGATTAAATGGTGGAGCTGAGTCTGAAAGAGGAACCAGTCTCATTGCAAAAGAGTGTTGTCATTTTGACGAAGATAATCAGAGGGCAATAGGTCAACTGATAGTTTGTGCAGCAATGACAGGCTTTGGTGGAAGAAAAACAGCCTTCTTTTCTCCTGCCTTCTTCTCTCCCTCTCCTACTAGCCAAGGCACTCCTTTGAGGTAAGCTAGAAGGATAAACAAGTTACTGTTTAGTGACAGGTAGGTTTGGTGTTAGAGTGAGCATGAAATGAGGAGGCTACCTGCCCTGGGCCAGACCACAGAGGCGGTGCCTCCGGGCTCTTTCTTCTCTGGGCCGCGGCCTGTGCTCCAGGAGGATGGAATGAGTCTTCTTTAACGGTCAGGCTCCACCCCCTAACTTCAGCCTGACCCTGCTTTGTTCACGTCTGTCCGTATCCCCGCATCACTGCTTTGCCCTGAAAGTCGATGTCACTGGGAGATGGTGGGGAATCTCCACCTACCTAGTGTCTTCCAATACCAGTCTGTTTGAAGATTTCACAGTTTAAAGATAAAAATCAACCAGAACAATGTGAAATCATTCAGGCTAGTCCTGGCCTTTTTCAAGGTAAAGGTTCTGAGCTTGAGCATCGTTAGGGGCGTGTCAGCCACTCCGGATGCTGAGACGAGACATCACCCAGTAACACTGGCTCATTTATACTGATCTTGTCGGGGAGATTTTCTCAGGTTGCCATCAACCTGTCCAAGCCAACAAAGGTAAGTGGGGGAGAGAAGGCTCTACAGGAAACCTCGCCACTGACGTGCAGGCACTGACAAGCACTCTGCCCTTTTTGACCTTATTTTTTAAAATTACACAAGGCGAAACATGAAATGAACACTTCAATATGTGATTATTCTGGAAATGATTGCCAGACTCTTTGCATCTTCGCCTGCCTCTCGGGATTGCCCGCGTTCCCTCCATCCCACACTTGTCTGTACGCAGACGGAGGGGTGGCGAATCCTTTTCCTAACACCTGCTCAGGAGAAATGGAAACAATTCTGGGGGCAGGTTTTGTGGAAAAATTCTTCTGAGTGATGAGTAAGCACAGCATTTGCAAAAAGAAAGCGATCTTATTTACAAAACTTAGTGAAACACACGGGGGCTCTGCTTCGACCAGCCCACTTAACCCAAGGCCTCGAAGCTGTGAGCTCAGGCTTTGGGTGGGGTATCTTTGCCGGGGTCCCTAGGTTCAGTGTTTCCCTTATCCCCTTACTTCACAGATGTAGTTAGGAGCACGTGCACTGGATGTATTACACTCGGGTGTGTACCCTGAAGAGAGTTCCTTAGTTATTAAGATTTCTGTCTCTTTCTTTTTTTGTACTTATTTCTTTATTCGGATGGAGGCTGGGTGGGTAAGTAGAGTGTAAGATAAGTGGGGGGTAGAGAGTTTTCCCCTCTGATCTAAAACTGAATCAAATTTGGTTAGCACTGGGAATAGGTGTAGGAAGTTTACGCCTTTTATTTCTCTTGAGAGCACATAAAAGAATAGTTAACTCTATGTGGGATGACAGGTGAAATACCTTATTTTCAGATTTCGAAAGTTCCTGTAAGTAGAGCATGAAAAAAATAACGAGACAGAAACTTTTAAAAATATCTTCATTTACCTCTCAAACACTGAGGAGACCACAATGCAACATACGCACGCCCAACTTAGGAGTAGGCCTAAGAACCCACACGTATTTGTCCTAAAAGTCAGTGTGATTTTTGGGGGTGGTGGGGGGGGGGTGGTGGCAATCTTGCCAACCTCTCTGGTTTTGGCATAAAATCCTGTAGCTGCATTTTACACCTACTTTACAGAATTAAGCACTGTGGCTAAGAATACGGGCTCTGAAGCCAAAGAGATCTGGGTGTGATCCTCTCCCATGTTTGGGACCAGATCCAGACAAGGCATCTCATTCCTGGAGAAGCGAGAGAGGATCTACCCTATCAGGGCAGTGGAGGGGACTGAGTTGGAAAATACCTGGGAAGCTCTCAGCAAACACCAGGAACACAAATGGTGATAATTACCTCCTGGGGCTATTATTTTCCTTCAAATATTAGGTTATTTCAGAGTATCTCTGAATGTATTTCCATGTGTCCCCAACCAACATTTCGCTGATTTTCAGGTGGGAGCGGGTTGTGACGAGAGCATACAATGACCGACGGAAGGACACCCACGCTCTTACTTACTCTGCTCTTCTTACTGCTGGACATTTTATTCTTGATGTAGCTGAACGTCCGGCTGACCTTTGTTCCGCTCTTCCCTTCAAAATCTTTCTTGGAAGGGCTTTGTGGCAGGAAACTGTAGTTCTCTTCTGTTATACTGAATAAAAACAAGATTCGTTTTTCTTAAAAGACTAGAGATTTTAAAAAAAAACTCAATACCTTATACACATTCCTTGTAACAGTCACTGTCACGTTATCTTGGCTACACGACAAAAGTCACCTGACATACCCACTAAAGGGTTTTCAGGGACCTGGTGTTAGGGTCTCACTGCCAATCACTCGCTCATTAGTGTATCTGAACCTTCCTCATCTAAAATAGATTTACAAACTTCTTTGCATCAAATCATGTGCTGGGAAGGCAGCCCATACATGTGATGGAAGGATGGGCTTATTCATAAAGGTTGCAAACCAAGGAGTTTTATGACTAAACGGGGAGCCAGCTTCCCTGGCAGCAGAGCCCCCCTCCCCGGCTCCATCAGGCGTCCGCACATGGGCACGGGGCCTGGCGGACGGTGACGGTGACAGCAGTTTTGGAAGGAACAGGGTGAACGCAGGCAGGACTGGGCAGGCGGGGAGGGGCCTTTCAGGAGACTCACAGACCTGGACTAGGTCAGACGTGTTCGGGAAGCCCACACGAAGCCCAAGTCCACCCGGGAAGGACATGTCTGGGCCTCAAGAGATTCCTCAGAGGACGCGGGGCACTGGCACACACACTCCATTACGGGGGAAGGAGTGTACTTATTAGATTTCTCCTCACTGTTCTAGAACATTATCTTATAGGTTTTCCACAGAAAAGTAGCATTTGCCTCGAGGGCCTCTGGGAGTGGGCAGACAGAAGCAGAACCACAGTCTGTTACAAATCAAGAACTGTTTACCAACAAAATAGTCTGTTACTAAGATAAAGGGGAAACGGTGTAGAAAACCACCACTCTAGAAAGGACAAATGATAACGGGGTCTGATGGCAGCGCAGAGAGCAGCACTCATACTGAAAGCGTTCTGGACCTCAGGCCGTAACTACTGGCTCTGGAAAAGGGTAGCAACTTAAAAATACTGCAGGGGAAGCCCAAGCATGATCATATCATGAGACTCCATCTCCCAAGCACGGAAAGAGGTATCCAAACAAGTCAGGACAGGACTCCTCCGCCGGCTTTCAGCCCATCACTTCCTTGAACAGAGCTGTGGACCGATCATTAGGACGGTGTAAAGAATGAAAGTGGAAAACGGTTGAAGACATTAATTTAAAAAAGATACAGGCTTCTTCACAAACCATTTCTAACCATTACTCCAAATTTACCACTTAGGGAGGGAAGGACCCCAAGAGCTCAATTAAATTTGTTTACTTGTTAGTTAAATGCCCCAAAACATGCTGGATTTCCTTCATGCTACCTTGGGAAAATGAGTAACAAAATAAGCGTATAGTACCTCTCAGTCAGATTAGCACTGGTGCTGTGGAAAGGCCGTGAATCTAGAAAACAAAACAACAGTGAAAGGTTAGAAAACAAGGACTATACCTGGATGACAGAAAAAATGTTTACTATTTGTTTATGACAGAGCAAAGCAGAGAAGTGTTTGGAAGCCAGCGCGTGATGCCTGCCTCTCCTCCTGGGGGTGTGGAAGAAGGACAAATTGAACTTGAAACCCTCAAATCAGAACTGGAAATAGGCAGTAATGGGGAGTGAATTTCCCCTAAAAAATTTAATCCACGATTGAAGTTACAAACCTTGAATCAACATTTCCCCCTAATTCCCAAATACATCTGAAACACATTTAATTCGTTTTCCGATCACTGTTTTTCCCCCAGCCATCTTTCTGAGCTGACCCAGGAGGTATAGAAAACAGAAAATTAAATATATATCCTGGATACTATTAGTTTTGCTTTCACATACTTCTATACTAAAAATCCAGCCACCGTGTATCTGAAATGCTCCTGAGGATTACTGGACATGGCTCAATGAGCAGGAAAGCGGCTCAGAGCTGCCCCATCAAGTTTTGGCCCTGTCACTAATTTGGGGTATCTCTGCATTTTATTTCCTCATTTGTGAAATAGAGGAGATAAAGCAGATGTTTGGCCCCTTTCAGGATAACACTGATAAATGAGCAGGCAGATGCATCCTTCCGCCTTCCCTAACCTTCAGGCCATAAACTGAGGTTGGTGGTTCATGAAAACTAACCAGGTCAGATGACAGGGCAGGGAATGGAAGAGACAGAAGGAATATCACTCCTATTATTTCCCTCCCACATGTTCATAAGGCCCGAGCCACTTCAGGAAGTGGATGAGAGGCAGGCCTCAGTCCCGGCGTTAGCTGGTTTCCACTGTAGAGGAGGTCAGGTACAGAAATACTTTCTGCATGATTCCAAGGAGACAAAGGCCGCCCCGTGCTCCAATGTGGACAAAACACACCCTTCCCCCTTGAGCTTGATTTCAGGGATTTCTGAGATTGAAGTAAAACTACAATTTGCTAAAGACTCGAAGATGTTGCTGGTACAGATACAGGCAACACTGGCTCTGTGGGCAGTGACAGCACAATAGCAAGGTGCCATCTTAACGTGTAAGCTCAAGTAGTTCCCCAGGTGGAGCAAACTTGGGAAATGAAATGACCTCTATTACCACCCAAAATGTAAGAGCATTCCCCTTCTGTCCCAAGATCATGGGTCTAAAAGAAAAAGTTGTTTCTGTGACAATCTAAAGCACAGCCTCAACACATAGGGAAGAAGTTCTGCTAGAGATTGTTTTATGTGTACTCAAAGTGTTTCTCCACACCCAGTGGACATGCATACACCCTGGCCTTGCAATTTAAACGAAAGACCAGTGTAAAAAGTCTATTAGCCTACCTCACTTTTTGTTCTGACATGTATTCCAGTACAGTCTCATTCCTTTGTCCGCAGTTAGAAAGAGACAGACTAAGCACGGAAGGTGGAGGCCACGCAGCCTCACCACCATGGCGGCCCGACTCGCCAGAGGCTGCCTGACCTCTGGGGACATGGCCCTTTAACCTTTTCAGACGTGGCACACTTTGTACATGTAAATGCCACAGTCGAGCTCTGCAGACCCCCTCAGCACTCCAGCCTAATGCAAGCTCTGCGAGTGTAAACGTGAGCTCCTGTCAAAGCATGTGTAAGAAACCTGGCCAGTTCACACACCATGAGTTTGAGAACCAGGCCCAGGACAAAAGCCATTTGTGAACAGGGGCTTCGTGACAGCGAACCACACCAAGTGGTGTGATGGGGGAGATGAAGACTAGTGGAGAAGCTGGAGAGGGTCAAACCCTGCCAGGCACAGCTTTTCTTTCAACAACAGCGCCACCGCACGCAGCATTCTCCCGGGCAGACAACCAGCCATGGAGCGGTTTCTCTACTGCTTGTAACCATCATCTGGGTGCGGTGAAAAGTTAAAAATATAGTCTTGGAAGGGGATGGTCTGTAAGGACTACATTACTCTGTATTTGCAAAAACTAACTTTACTCTTAAGTTCCATCAGGAAACCATCTACGTCTCCTGGCAAGCAGAGAGTCTCCACTCAGCCCTCTCTGATGCAAGAAGGAGACATGCAGCAAACACAGTCCCCGGAGCAGAATCTCCGAGTGGTTCTTTCCTTACTTGACCCGGGCAGCATCTGCGCTGTTCTGACTCCCGAAAAAAATGAGCTGGCAAGATGCACCCATCACACTCCCCTACCAAGACACAAGCCTGACACAGCAGCTCAGACGGCTTTCGGGCCCACTGTGGTCCTCAGATAAGCTGCTGCCTGTCTACTCTCCACCCCAGTAGCCACACGGATGTATTTTAGTCACCACCTTTACTCACTCTTTTCCTTTGCATCAATGGATTTTTGAGACCAATCCAGCTTAGAAATAATGTTGTGGGTCTGTCTGTTTTTCTAATCTAGTAAGTGACTCAACAAGACGTTCCAGACAACAGCTCAGCGGACATTCGTTTTCCGAAACGCTCAAATGCTACCAGCTGTGGAAGGCTGTGCCTGAAGCAGCTTATTTATTTGAAGGGAGGAGATGGCGCACAGGCAGAAGCTAGAGTTGTGTGAAAAGGCTGATTCTAGAAAGCACTTTGTTCCTAGACAAGTGTGCTCATAAGACACAGTCGCTGAAGACGAGGAACGGTATTCTGGCTTCTCTAGCGCTGACTGAACTGTGGTCAGAGAAAATGGGCCCTGCCCCTGTGAACTCACTCGCTCCATGCGGTAACAAATGCTCATTAAATGCCAGGAAGTACGCCAAGGACTTTAAAATTTACATATCATCTGTACCCTGTTACCAGCCTGTTTAGCAGTTCAGGTAACTGAGCCAGAGTTTCAGTATCTGACCCACGTCACGCAGCCACTAAGTGGGTTGACTTCAAAACATGGCTTAAAATATCTGGCGTGCCAAACACTGTAGGCTTAAAAATGACTGTGTAGATTCTGATTGTAATAATTTCAGCTAGAAAGAGTGAGCAAAGATAAAGCACGCAGGGCAGCTAAGGGAGCGGGAGTTGGAGATTTGAGTCTGAGGTGCCTCGAGAACTGTCCAACACTTGAAAAGGCACAGCACCCTGAACAAGTTTTTGTCTTTTGTTCAACGGTCAGAATCTTAACATCTGCAAAAAGACTTATCATGTTTCTAGAGCCCAATAAAAAAATGCAGCTGGGAAAATTAATTTTCCCAGGCACTAATGTAATGGGGAGGCTCTAAGGGGAAGCGTGTCATTGGAGTTGGTCAGTCCTCCACTCACAGAGCACGCTCACTCAGGGAAGCCGTGGGCCCGCTCACGGACTTATGTATGACCTCATGAATGACCTCCTCATGCAATCCCGCATGAAACGTGCACTGCAGCGACCCTGCGCTGAGGGAAGGCGCAAACTGTGACCTAAAGCGCTGCTCTCCACAGCAGCCTGCTACTGACTTCAGCTCCCCTCGGTGACTGAGCCCAACATTTCCCAGAAGACAAGGGATTCTCCATGAGCCATGGTGCTGACCTCCGGGACCGGGTTTTCTGGGAGTCCACTGCCTTCTTTATCATGTTGGGCTGGCAAATGAAAACAAGGCCAAAAACCACCTTGGTTTTTAGAGTAATCACTGTGAAGGGTTTCACAGAAGAGGCAAGAGAGTAAGTCACGACATAGAGGGAAAAGTCCTTGCTGTGGGACGCCTTCTGCCAATGCCGGGCACTGTTAACAGGGGAGCGGGACCCTTGCCAAGCACAAGCCTGGCTGGTCGTGAAAGGTCGGTGCACAGAGCTGCAGTGGCTCATTTAGGAGCCTTCCTGTCCTCTCAGGCTCTTGCGTTCTCGCACTCCAGTCCCATCAGTGAACTAGTCCATTGTAATAATTTTATTCCATGTCAGCAAAACTAATCCAAACCCAAATCAAACAAAACTAGGAAAAGCTACTTTTCTTAAGGTTCTGTGAAGTTACTGTCATAACTGAGAGTAAGTCGTTACCAGGCAGCGTCAGTCAATGGGTCAGACCTGTATGTGAAGTGTGACCACGTGAACACAGGCCACAGCTAACAGAATCACTGCACTGCGGACACGGATCAGGCCTCCAGTGAAACAAGAGTTGAGACAGAACATTCCTCTAAGGCAGGGCACCTACTTCTGTCCCCAACTGAGTTTCACCAGGGGACACTGGAGAAACACCAGGAGAGCCTGCTCACTCCTTCTGCTTCTGTCTCCTGAGCACCCAGCGCAGCAAAGAATGTAACATAAAAACCCCCTTTGATAGGAACTTAAATCTTTACTAAGATTTCACACTGCAACTACACATTAAAAACAAACAAACAAACAAAACAGTATTAAAAAAATAAAACCAAAAAGTGAGGTTTCTCAAAGAACATGCAACCCTTCTGTGGCAAACATCTGGAGTCAATTCAAGTCGACGCCCCGTGTGACTCAGCCGGTGGATCCCGAATCTGCACAAAGTTCCATTAGCATTTTCCAACGTGATCCTTCTGGCACTTGCTTAGCTGACTACGTATCTCAGTCTTTCTTAGTCTTTTATGATGCTGACAGGAAGTCCTCAGGAAGAAGAGCTCAGGAAATTCATCTTGGATCCAGTCTGGGTGACTGTACTGTGGTAATGTGAGAGTGTGTCCTTGGGACATATGAGCATTATATCTAATTTAGTCTCAAGTATTTCAGAAAAGACTTTGAGGAGACTGATGGAGAGAGCGATACCAACAAGTCTATGACAACATCTGAGAACTCTGAGGTGAGGAATATACAGTTCCTTGCACTATTTTTGTGATTATTTTTAAAGACTGAAATTATTTAAAAATAAAGTTTTAAAAAATGTTTAGTCCCTGGCATAAAATGAATTTAATGGATCAAGGAAGTCTTAGGAGGCTGGGAAGGAGGAAGGTCCCAAAGTGCTCAGCCACTCTTTCAGAAGCAGCAGCAGACAGATTTTGGTAGTCAATGATACAGTGCGAAAAACGATGTAAGTGTTTAAAGTGTAACATTTAATTGAAAAAAAGGCAGTATACTCACGGTCCAAGCCGGGATGGCTGATTGTCATTAATGAGATGGATTTTGTCAATGGAGAAGAGATGGCGGACGTACAGTAATTAAATGACTGTTTAGATCTGTGACGCGTCTGTGAAGTGTAAAAAAAAAAAAGTGAAACACATTCTAAGTGCATGTTCTCATATTCTTAGCTGGTACAAAACTTCATCTTCTGACCCGAGGCAGAATCCAGACTCTGCAGTCAGATGAGGACTCAAGTCTGCCCACACTTCGGAGCTGCTCAACTGCAAAGAAATTTCTTAGCTTACTTGAGGGGCAGTTTTCTTCTCTGTAAAATGGGGATTAATTATCGCATCCATCTTTTACAGTGGTTTTGTATCCTTTATCCTAATTATGTTTCAGACTAATATGCACTTAACATATAGCTACTGAATGCACAAGCAGATAAAAGCAATTTCACTAGAAATACCAAACTATATCTCATTTTTTGAAAATGTGAATATCCCTCATAGGGATAGAGTGGGACACCAGTAATATTCTGATTTTAAAAAGTTGGGAACAGAGATGCAAGTAAAAAGTGTTTAAAGGCTCCAGGCAAAGCAGCAGTGCGTCTGGAGAGAGGCCTGAATTTCTTTCAGTTCCTCTTCTAAGATTAGACTGCTTCTACAGAAACATGAGGGTGGCTGAGACTTGATAATTCAACACCCCCAGTAAACCCACAGCAGCTTCAGGGTCATGTAATCCAGCCAACTGCAGACATTCCTGCAGTAATACCCCCAAAGGGCAGTCACCAGCCTTGCGAGCATTTCTGGTGTGAGGGTCCCCTTCCCTTTGTCGTGAGAGAACCCACTCCAGCTGGTAACTCACTTCGGTTATCATCATTCTCTTCCCCTCACAGTAGGCTGAGATCTGCCTCTTTCTGACTTGCCTATGTTTAAAGGAAGCAATGAACATCTGTTCCTAGCATGAACTCAACTCAATTGTGCCAAAGACTTCTGATTATTTAGAGCTTGCTCCCCGCGTAACCATGGAGTCGAAGCAAATAGTTGCTATGTTTCAAATACAACCGTGAGGTCCAAAGAATGACCTTGGTGAAAGGCAGGGAACTTCAACAGGAAGCAGGCTGTAGGCGACTCATCCAGATCAGAGATATAAGCAGCTCAAACACCCACTGTGCAGTGCCACACAAAGCTGGGGGTGACCAGAGTGGCAGCAGGGGTAAGTACAGGAAGGGACTAAGATGGTGACAACGTTAGCCAGAAAGACTAAACCAGAAAGGCCACCGCAGAAAGACATCAGTGTAATTAATTACCATCACTTGCTAGAAGCCAGGGTCATCTATCAAATACCTGGAAATGTCAGTTTCAGAAAAGTATCACATAAGCAATATTAAGCCAATTAAAATGTTCTCGTTTCTTCATGAAAACTCATCTACTTCAAGACATGGAAAGAATCAGTGAGACCAACAGCCAGGGATTGCGACTTTAACGCTGCTCAGCTAACAACCAGTGTGAGGCCTTCAACAGGTCACTTAAATGGGCCTGGAGTTCTCAGAGGCTGAAGTGGAACCTGAAGGCACACACTGGCCCAAAGTCTATGATCCTCCTGTTCACAAACCCCTAATTTCTGGCATCTTATCTTCTCTTGGAAATGATTTTGCACATGAAGTGCAAGTTAACTTTCTATTTGTCAGAGATTCTCTGTCACCAAAGACTGGTTTCTAGTTCTTCCTTCTTTCTGTCGCCATTAGGCTAAACAAATCAAATTCACTGACTTCATAAATATATTCTCCATATCTTACTATTTTTCCTTTTTAAATAAACATCAGGCCAAGAAGACATGCATGAGGGATAAAAGATGGCAAAATTCCTTCGGGCCTCCAATCTGATTTTCATCGAGCCTCCACTCTCTTAGGCCTGTACACGAGCATAAGTGACACATTTATTCCTAATGTAATCCTCCAGCGCCAAGTTTATATTTGGTCATATCATTGCCATATAGTAGGATGTCATCAAAATTTAAATGTCTACCCAAAACTTCACTCACGTAGTCAAAGGACAGGTTGGTTGTTTGATATTTTCGTTTGTTTAGCAATGTTTCACTTGGATGTGAATACCGCAATCCTCTCGGAAATTAATCCAAAGTCTCTCTGGTCCAAGAGGAGATAAAAAAGGACACAGATAAAAGGTAGGACACTACAAAAAACCCGCACTATTCACATTCTCAACTCAAAACTCCTGGAGGGACTGTCAAAAGTGTAATGAAGGGCTTGAAAAGAGGGGAATTAAGATAACAGTCACTTGATTTGGGTGAGAAGAAAGTCCATGACCTTAAAGTAGAAGTTTTAAGAGAGGATAATGGAGATGCTAAGATCACAGGTGGGAGTGAGGCTTGCACTCCAGAATTCAGGAGAGATGACAAGCAAAGAGACGAGCCATTCCCTAGACACCGTAAGACAAAGAATTATTTTTCCGGCAAAGATAATCTTGGGATACAGTTTTAAGAATTGGGAAACTTAATAATGGTATGTAACCCCACTTCAAAATTCATTTTACTGTTGTAGCAGTAAAAGAAGTTCTCAGACAAGAAGGAAAAACTCCCCATCATGGATACTTTCCTAATTTAATACTTTGATAGAATATTTAAATCTGTGCAGGTTACCGGTATTCTTTAATTAGTAACAAGTGCTACAAATTGGCTTTGAGCTAGTCTTATATAAACGTGAGTCTTTGTGTTTTTTGGTTTTCCAATACGAGGATGCATTGACAGAAATAATGTTTTTCCCAAATGAGCAACGTGCACCCATTTCAATCTTACCTGCGGATCAAACATCCTCCTAGGTTCTCTCTGGTCTGATTCCAGGTCCTCTTCTGAGAGGGACACCAAAGAGCCAACCCGGTCCTCCCCACTGAAAGGGTGCCTGAGTTCCTTGACATTTGGAGAGTTTATTTCTAGGGATGAGGATGGTTTGTTCCCGACGCCAGGTCCTCCTGCCAAGCCTTCTAGACTGAAACTGAACAAATAAGAGCACAAGGGTTAATTCATTCTGAGGACCAGGAAGGAAAGACACAAAACCCTGCAGTTCTATCTCCCTTGCTCATTTATTACTTTGGTGTTTCCTAGCAAAACTGCCCACAAGGGGGTGCCCCTGACCTACACCCCCCCACAGGTCCTGGGGCGCTGAGAGAACACTGCATGTACATCTTCTCACCTAACTCACTCTTTCACTCAAGTATGAAACCATCTCAGGCCATTTTCTCAGATTTTTTTTTCTGTATAACATATGGACAGACTATTTATCGTACTGATCTTCATTTATACGTGGTATAATTAATTAATCTTTGCCAGAATCTAACTTTGTTCATGCCAAAGAATTAAATGGCATAGAGAAAACATGAGCACAGGTAATTTTCAAAAGCAAACACAGAGGTCTGCCCTGTGGCCAATAGGTGGACCTTTATAACTTCACATTCAACAGCTGAGTTGACCTTTGAAAGTTCACAGGTATGCCCCCGACCCCACACAAGACACCCCACATGTTACTTGTGAGCACTGTCACCTGTGCTCACCTGACGAGACACCAGCAGCCGGACAGGTTTCCTGAGGATTGTTAGTTGCAGACAGCCACATATGACACCTTAACCATGAAAGCCAAAAAGCTACTAAGTCTAGAATTTTATTTTTTTTTTCCCTTGACAAAGAGATTAAAAGGAAAAAAAACAAAGCAAAACTGCAAACTTAGGACCTGGTATCTAAAATGGGATCCCCAGAATAAAGATTTTGCGTTTAGCAGAGTGAGAAACATTTTCTGTAAGTGGAGGCTAGAGGAGAGGTCAGCCATCTCTCTTCCTTGGGGCCAGGAGCCAGAGTAATTCATTCACATCTGTGACAACTGTACCAGAAACTGTTTTAAAACAAGCAAGATCTCAAAATACAGTTGCAGCTGACATGTCCTCAGTTACGAGCAGCTGGGACTGTCTTTAAAGCTATACTGAAGCTATTCAGTTAGTTATCTCTGTTCAACCATAGTTAACAACTACAGAGAATTCGTGTACGCTGGCCCAGAGGGCTGGTATTGGCTTTTTTTTTTATTTGTTAGTGTTTTATGAACTCAATCCATATGTCTCTATTTTCCCTAGTCAGTAAATTAAACAATATGTCATATTTCAATATGACAATAGAAATCCAGACTCACTGCAAGTAAATGTCTCCGTAGAATTCATTTTCAATAGCAGGAATAAGAAGATAGACTAAGTGAAGAAGAAATTTAGTTTTCTATTGTGAATTATTTGTGAAGCCTGAGAAAGCCAGATCTGTGCCACCACAAAACTTAATCCTGAAAATGTTTTAATAATTAACTCTGGTTGCTTGGGAAAAGACTATATGATGACGATGAGGTCTGTGAATTTGGAATCTAAAGAGACTGGTGGATTTGGAAGCATAATAGAAATAAGTGCCTCTTATTTCCATCATTGTTCTCCTCAGGACATGGGAACTGCTAGAATCTGGGAATTAGGCAGGACCAAAACAAGAGAAGTGCCTGCCAAGCCATGGAGGCAAGTGCATGCAGACAACACAAATCCACGGCCGCTTGAGACGAGCGGGGAGCACGGGCACACCACACCGTCGGGCACCGCAGGCTAGACTCCTTCTACTGGACCAGCGAAGCCCATGGCAGCGGCAACTGAACACTGCTCACAGACAAAGCAGGCTGCTGTGAGCACCCCAGCCACAGTGAAGCCAGCTCCAAGCCAAAAGCCCAAAGGCCAAGTTGAAGGTCCCCCCTGGTGGCAGGACGGGTGACAATACCATACCTTCTGTAATTAAAGTCAGCACTCAGGGCAGCAGAGTATTGCACACCAGAGGTACACCAGCTCATACTGGGATGACATCAAAGCAGAAACAGAAATGGAGGGAGAAAAGAGGAAACAGGATAGGGTTACCAGGGTTAAAAGAAAGGGCACAGTCAGAGACAGATTTGATCATCAAAAAATTGCAAAACTGATTGCCAACTTAGACAAAGGCTTGAACAAAACCATGGAAACTGCAAAGGATGCCCTACTGACGTCCATTTAGCAAGCTGCCGCACACGACTACATGAGCTCTTTATGGGATATCAACTCCCACCTGAAACTCGAGACTTCCAGCCAATTCTGGACAGAGACCCCCCCCCCCCCGGCACTCTCAGAGGTGTCTCAAGCAACACAGCAACACTACTGGGCCCACCTCTCTGCACTCACCCCACTCCCACAGCCCCGCAGCGCGGTCGGCCCCTTCACTGAGGAGCAGAGGTCAGCTGCATGGGGTGGGCTCATCAGTCGTGGCTTTTTCCACGGCTTTCCAGTAAGGACCCCGTGCACCAGACGGGGGCACAGGCCTAGGAAGACACCCAATCAGCAGCCACATTCATCCTAGAACCCTCCTCTCTCCAGACCCTCGGGCCAGAGACAAAGCCTTTAACAATGGCCACACTCCCCTGTATTTTAATGATTGGATTTATACTGTCTTCCAAAAAAAAAAAAAAAAAAAAAAAAAAAAAAAGGAATTCTACAGTACTGAGTTAGAGATGTTTCCTCTTGATTTTAACTTTGTGTCCATTTTCCCCCATAAGATATCTTTTTGTTTACAAATCCATTTTATCATTTACTTCCTTGATTACATCAGCACTGATATTTATTCTTAAGCAGCAGGGACAGAAGATCTGGGTGCGAATACTTCGTCACTATAACCAGGTAAGAGATAACCCATTTAAAATATAAGGTATTCTATAAAAGGAACTGCATCAATAGGTCAGGATGATTGCTAAACAAAGCTATCATTGATAAACTCAGGGCTACTTTTGGGCGCTACGGTTGGGAGGGATCTGCCTTTGCTTTCAGAAGGGAGTTAAAACCAGAGACTCTGGACAGTAAACTGCTCAGCAACCTCTGGAGCCTTGTGCTGGGAAGAGCCGTAGACCCCAAAATGATAATCTAATAACTTTCCTTGTTGCTGAGCGGTGGATGTGACAGAGGAAAGGAGACAAGAAAAATGTGACTAAATACATGAGCTGCCCCTACAGCCCTTCGAAAGGCAAACCTTCAAAACAATGTCAGGAGGTCATGCTCTGAAATTGTCAGCTTAATTTTAAATCTCCAAACTGTTAAGAAAAGGATCTATGACACCTATATATCCAATGTCTAATGAAAAACAATGTGGTCAGTTAGTAACTGAACATACACGGCCCGATGACCATCTCTAGAAATAATGTCCAACATCTCTTCATTCTCAGAAAGTGATGATGTGGTGACTGGGGCGAAATTTAAAATGGAAATAAGGGAATCCACAGGGAGACAGGGGAGGGACAGAACAGCTTTTCCAAGAAGGCGTTGCAGGTTCTACAGTATTGGAAAAACTGCTTTTCCTTGTACTAGAAAGCCCCTCTTCATATACATATCAAAGCTCTATCTGAGAGCACCCAAATTTCCTCCAGTTCCCATTTAGTGAGGTGTGTGGGGGGGAATAATATTTAATGGTAGACTATTTTAAGATTTAAGAAATTCTAAATGAATGGGAAAAGAAAAAAACAAAAAACAAAAAAAAAACCCAACAACAAATGCCCCTCTCCCTGGCTGTTGCTAATACTGGTTGGAATGTTTTAATTATACAAAACGTGAAACTACATATCACGCTCTTCCTACAGAAACGTGACCGGAGGGCCTCCCCTGGTGGTGCAGCGGTTGAGCGTTGGGCTGCGAAGCTGCCCGCAGCCTCTGCAGCACCAGTTCGATCCCAGGCCGCTGGCGAGGGCCCCACATGGCGCGCAGACCTCTCCTGCCACCCGCTGCTCCCCTCAGCAGTGTACTTCGTCGGTCTGCCTGCTCTGCTCCCCGCTCTGGCTCTGGTGAATTCTCTCACTCTCCCACGCTTCTGACTGTACCCAGTGCTTGTATAAATAAATAAATCTTTAAAAAAAAATAAAAATAAAAAAGAAACATGACCGGGGGTAGCACTAACGGCAGCTGTCATGCCGGGCATCCACCCACTGACAGCGCAGACCGCGCCCAACCATGGTCATCTTCTGGCATCCTGATTAACCCGAACAGGTTAATCTTGAAGAGCTAAATGGAGAGTCTGACAAATACATCTCTAAAGATTCTAAACACGCCTGCTGAAAAAGGCATTTAACACCTGGTTTCCCGACAGAGAACCTTAGCCGGGTCATGATTATCCAGGGTCATGACAACAGTTTTTGTATCTGTTTTGTACCTAAAATCTGGAGTCAGAGGAAGCATCCACTTGAAAACATACAGTGGGGAAGTCACTATGACCTGATTCCCAGCAAAAGGCTTCAGCTACATTACGAATCCCTCTTGACAAATGTCTCCTCCTCGTGAGAGAAGTTGCTGATAGCCATCTAACAGCATTTTGAATTTCTAAATTTTCCTCAAATAATGGAAGAAAAGGGCACTACTGATGTTGAACAACAACAACAACAACAACAACAACAACAAAAAAAAAAACAACTCAGTACTGGAAAAATTTAAAGCAAATTTTAGCTTAAAAAACAGTTTTGAAACTTTTTCTGACGAGAGATAAGAAGGAAGTCAAAGGCTGAGAGGAGGAGACTTCAGAGCCATGAGCTGATGCCTCCCGGCTGCTTTCAGGAAAGGCTCCACCAGCAGTGGGGCAGAAGTGCCAGGGCTCTGGGGGTAAGATCCTTCCTCCCACTATTAGGGAACGCACTGAAAATACTTGAAGGCCCGAGTTCCAGCACTCATACTTCTGGCTCTGCTCTGTACTTCTGGAGAGAAAAGTGCTCTCCAGGGCCCATTTAATAGGTACCACACAGACAATTCTCTCCATTCTCCTAGAAAAAATTGGGTGAGTCACCGTTATCAACATGATCAGAACACCAAAAAGTGCTAGATGGAAAAAATATTTAGGGAAAACAATTTTTTTTAAGGCGTAAGAATAGGAAACACTTCAAATTGAAGAAACCATTTCATACAGAATGGACACCAGCAATGAGTAAGTACCGACACTTCATTTGCTTGAAAGAGACTTGACAATATTTAAGAGCAGACTGTTTAGCCACAGGTGAAGCAAATGGGGTGATGTTAGTATATGCTCAGGGGCAACACGGTTAGTCCATCAAGTTAGTGAACTCTGTACCTTCTCCTATGAATGGGAGGCCTCCTGACAACATCCCCCAGAACGCGCATTGAACTGAAAATGAATGGTGGAAGAGGTCAGTGTCAAGGTGAAACAAATGGGACACAAATGCATGAAACGGAGACATCGCAATGGGAAGAGGTGTGACTGCCACAGAGAAACAGCACAGGAAGTGAGGGCACCGAGTAAGAATCAACCAAAAATGGACTGACAGCTTGTGCGGGGAGCGTCTGTGCTTCCTTCCTGGCTCTAAGAGGACGAGGGATGAGGCTCAGCTGGTTATACAGGTAAAAGGATCCAGGTGAGAAATGTCCAAAACTTCAAAAGGGTTTTCTTCAGACTTTAAAGTACAGGCTACACTGATAACACTGTGAGAATTAGTCAAACTAAACTGATACCTGACTCATCCCGTTACCTCGAGAGGCCCGGGCGAGCGGGCGCTCGGCCAGGCTGAACACTGAACTCAAAGGGGAGGGCCCATGTGACTGGAAATACAAGTAACTTCAGGGATAAGGTTGGGGGTCTTAGTTCGGTCACCGTGTAATCACGGGCAAATCATTTCATTTGAGCTTCAAGTCCCTCATCGGAGCTACGTGACCCATGAAGTCACCTCTTGCTCTGAAGTCAGCCAGCGCGAAGGGGCCCAGGAGAGGTTCAAGAAAAACAGGCTTGCATACAAGCAGCCCCTGCCTAAGGAGGCTGTCGCTGCTGACCACAGGTACGTCCTGTCAGGAAGCTCCTCTTGCGGTAATAACACCCTGGCTGTCGGGTCATTCCCCTGATGCTGATTTTTTCTATTGGTGTGAATGCTTTTTAAAAAAAAGTACAGCACAACTGAAGCTGGGAAGGAAGGGTTTTAGAAACTGCTTCTTATTTCATCTAGGAGGTGGGTGGTTCATGTCAAATGTTTTGGGACAACTGTCACCTCCGGGCTCCTACTTCTGCGCGCCGAGCATGGCAGGGCTGTCAGGTAGGGCTGTCAGGCAGGGCCGCCAGGCGTTCGTCTCTAGCACTAGAGCCACCTAGTAGGCTCACAAGGCAGCCAATAGCCAGAAGCCAAATCCAACTTCTCGTCTTAGACCCGCTTCCAAACCCAAGGTCTGAAGCTGGCTGCACTTCTGAAAGTACCCTCAAACTGGCTGAAAAATGGTAAAAGGCCAAAATTTAAAGGTATTTATTGGTTCTTATGTTCGCTTGAAGATAAAATACCGGTAAGCTGGACTTTATCAAAACTTTCTGGATTAGGAACAAATGGCAATTCCTATGAAGCCCCTGGAAAAATTTAAGATTTTGTGTTTTTCTTAACTCAAAATTGACATGCGATAACACCAGTATTTTTCTAATCTGCTAATTTCATGGACAAACGTGGTCTGAAAAAATGTTAACCATTATTAAACATGTGAGAGACATATTTCCCTTGGTATTTTGAAAGGCACCTCTTTCACAGTTGAGAACATTAAAAGCTCAGAGGGGCCAAGTAATTTGCCCAAGATATTCTACAGGGAGGCTAGAGAACAGGCAACTGACCACACGTCTCCCTGACGCCAGAGCTGGCATTCTTCTATACCAGTGTCTCCTACAATCTCTTGCCAACAAGAACCCCAAGGGAGCAGATACCGAGAGACTGAACACAGAGCCGCCCTCTTACCTGCGCTGGTTCATCTCTGCGTCGCTGGCTGCATTCTTCCCGGGACCCCAGCTGTGCCTCCGGAAAGGGGACAGAGAGCGCATGGAGCTCCTCAGGACGGAGCAGTTTGCGGGCACCTCAGTGATGCTGTCCATCTCCTCCTCCATGTCTCCTGAGCCAGCAGGTTCGCTCTCGCTCTCGCGACCCTCAGTTCCCACCCCCTGGCTGTAGAAGCCATCGAGGCTTTGCTGAAGCCTGGATCTGTTCACACTTGAGGTCTGGGGGAGGGAGACATCACTGCCATGGGACGAGTGGCGATCCAGGGAGGCCGTGTCATCGGTGGAAGAACTGGACCCAGTGGTGTCGCAGACCAGCTGCTCTTCTTCGGGCTGCGGGGGAGAGAAAGCATGCCGGGTTGGAAGAGGCAAGTCGCAGCAGGCTTCCAACAGAATTTTCTTTTTTCAACATAATCATTAGCTGGCTTCAAAGGCCCACAGTGGGGCTACGATCTAGGTCTGTGCTCTTTCTATCCTCTTGCTGGAGGTAGCAGACTAGAAGTACATGATCTGCAATAGGACAAGTCCTAATTTTGATTAACAATTATTTCCTGGACATCCCATGAGGGGTGACTGAGATGTGTTATTTCTTTTAATCCTCACCACTCCTTGATTTAGCAGGCACTCACCACCTCCTTTTCCACGCAAGAAAATGGAGGCAGAAAGAGGTTACAGCACAAACTCAAGATTCTAATTCAAGTGCTTAGGGGTAAGGATCCCCAACTTCAATCTCTTCAGGGGATATTAGGTAGAGCAAACTTTCAATCTCTTGCTAGGAACTACAGAATGCTTCCAAAAATGCTTAAAATTAAGTTGAGATGGAGATGAGTGTGAGAGGGAAAAGCTAAAATTACCAAATCTTCAAAAAAAGAAATTATCACCACCAGTGGCTAATCAACAACAGGAGAGCAACGTCCACAACACGTGGGTAAGCTGGACGCTGTCAAAATTTCGCTCATCAAGACGCCATTATGAATACTACAGGCCAGCCACAGAGTGGGAGAAAATGTATTTGCAAAGCATAAATGTAACAAAGGACTGGCATCCAGGAGCTGTACAGAGGTCCTACTTCTCAACAAAAAAGATAAACAATCCAATTTGTTTTTTTGACGGGCATAAGATGTGAACAGCAGCTCCCATGAAGAGCTTCAGACCGCCAGTGAGGACATGCTCCACACGGTCATCGCTTGTCAGGAAGGTGAATCACAGCCATGTAAGGCTCACTACATGCACACGGGGAAGCTGCAACTATACCAAAACTGAACAGTCACACAAGCTGAGAAGGATATGGAGCAACAAGAATTCTCCTAGAGGGCCTCCCTGGTGGTGCAGGGGTTAAAGACACAGCATTATCAAGCTGTCACCAGCCACAGCAGCACGAGTTCGATCCCTGGCCAGGAAGCGACCCATACGGCGCAGCAGACCTCTCCTGTCTCACCTGCTGCTCCTCTCAGCAGTGGATTTCAGTAGATCCACCTGTTCTGCTCCCCACTCCGTCTCTGGTGAGTCCTCTCAGCCCCCTGCACCTCTGGCCACAACCCCAGTTCTTGTATGCATAAATAAATCTTAAAAAAAAAATTCTCATATATTGCAGGTGAGAACCACTTTGGGGAAAGATCTGACACTTTCTCATAAAACTAAATCTATACCTGCCAGATGACCTAGCAATCCCCTCCCGGGTATTTACCAAAGAGAACTAATATTTATACTCTAATTATACAAAGAAAACCAATGTGTGGTGGGAAAAAAAATGAAGAGTTTTGCCTTTAGGAAGTTAAGAGAGGAGATTAGGAAGGGGCAGGAGGAAACTTTCCGAAGCGGTGATCATGCCTTGCCAGAATTTGGGTCACAAAGGTAAGTGGCTGTATCTATCAAAAGTCACTGAGGTTCAGCGATTATGGAAACAGTAAAGAGGTTCCTTGAAAAATTTAGAGCAGGAAGTCCCATACGTGATTCTGCAATCCTGCTTCCGGGTACACAGCCAGAGAATATAAAATCACCATCTTGAGGAGGTATCTATCTGCTCTCCCATGTCAACATCAGCATTATTCACATTTTCAAGATATGTAAACATCCTGAGCGCCCACCAACAGAGAAATGGACAAAGAAAATTATCACCCAGCCTTTAAAAACCATGAAATTCCGCCAATTATGAGAAGGTGGGTGACCACGGCAGACACGTCCCAGGTGAGGTGAGTCAGACACAGAAAGCAAAACACTGCGTGATCTCACCTCAGGTGGACTCTAAAGCTGGGAGAACTCACAGTAACAGAGTGGAGGGTGGAGGCCAGGGCCGCAGGGGTCGGGGATGGGGAACGGCAGCCTAAGGGCACACATTTTCAGTTACGAGATGACGTCCTAGAGACTTAGTGTAGAGCGTGGAGAATACAGTTAATAACCAAGTACTAAATACCTGACATTAGCCATGAGAGCAGATCTCACTCTCTTGGGCAACTCTGGGGGTGATCACGATAGTTAGCCCGACAGAGTCAGTTCACATCACATTGCATACTTGAAATCTGTATGTTTTTGTTAATTACAACTCAATAAAGCTGGCGAAGACTCACTGATTAGAATCCTTGAGCCTGTGCACATCAGTGTACGCAAATTTTGCAAACACACACACCCCCTCACCAAAAAAGCCATCGTATCAGTAAATATTGGCTTTTTTCAGTCCTTAGTTTTCATTCATTTATTCACTAATATTTATAAATTATTATCTACCATATTATACACAAGACAGCCTGCTGTGTGCCTCGGGAAATAACAACTCACATCTTAAACCCCTAATGTATATGCCAATTGCCTGGGGCATTTTTTTTTAAGATTTATTTTTTATTTATACAATAGCTGCAGTACAGGCCAGGGGGGCGGGGGGGGGGGTGAGAGGAATCACCAGAGACAGAGCGGGGAGCAGAAGAGGCAGACTGACCAAAAACACTGCTGAGGGGAGCAGCAGGCAAGACTGGAGAGGTCTGCCTTGCCATGTGGGAATCTCCCTGGCCAGCTGGGATCAAACCCGCGCTGCAGAGGCTGCGGACAGCTTCACAGTGCTGCGCTCAACCTGCTGCGCCACCAGGGAGGCCCTGCCTGGTGCAGCATTTTATTTAAGAATCCCAAGTATCTGATGACAAACTATCAATAATTCAGTTCTGAAATTCTAGTAATTTTAATACTTGTAGATAGGCAGATTTTTTTGGAGTCTAAATATATTTACTTTATGCCTAAAAAGTTCAAAAATAAAATGTACTATTTTTGCCTTGTGGCCAGGGGACCGGAGAGCAAGCCACCACATGTGAAAGGGTGTTCCCTGAAGGTTGCACCTCTTAGGGGAGATTCTCTGGTTGCTTAAATCAGCTGCAGATCTCTCGCTCTTGGAGAAAAGCGGCAACAACTCTTAACCATTGTCCTTGGGGCTACAGAGGGGCCTGATTATGTGCATTTGCTGACCACACTTTCAGTCTCAGCCCATGCCAAAAAATAATCCCAGGATTTCTTCTCACTTTGGAAACAAAATGTAAATTTTATGCTATGGGTCTAAGGAAAAGAAAGAAGTTAGGAGCCAGTAAAAATCAGAAAGAAGAAACACGACGCCTGTAACACTCACCCAGGAGGCATGCTGAAGGGAGGCCCACGGTTCTGCTGAGAGTGCGTGAGAAGCGGGGCAGGCTGCTCAAGGGCTTTCTCTAAGGCCAGCGCCACAGAAGCGGCTGCAGGAAGTGACCTAATCTCTCAGCTCCCAGTTCACAGAAGACGATGTTGCAACACTCTGCCTACAGATTATTTCTTAGAGAGGGGAGCAGAGGAGGGCCAGAGCCTGGGAAGAAACTCTGAATGTCTGATGTTGAGCGGCACACGCCGTGCAGATGGCTGCGAGGAAGACAAGGGAGCAGCCGGTGGCCTTGCTGCTGCCACGTTAATCGTTGGCTTTTAAAGCCAGGGTTTGGAACTTGAGCGCAGAAAACTAGAAAATGAACAGATTTAGAGTCAGGCTTAGGTAGAAATCTCACTTCTGTTTCTGAACAGCTGAGTAATTTTGAGTAAACTTCTTTACCAATTTGAGTCTGTTTCCTGGGAAGCGTAATGAGGACACAACCACCCACCTCGCTGGGCTGCGCGGAGGCGAGATGAGATCACCATCTAAGCGTCCACCCCTGCCTGCTGCTCAGTGAGCACTTGCGACCGCAGCCTGCTTCACCTCTTCCTTCCGTAGCTGCACCCTTGGGCTATTAGTGTTGGAGAAAACGCTTCTTGCTGACCTTTGCTTTGGTCACACACGACTTGTGGAGAGTGGAAACATCACCAAGAGAAAGAGCCCCCGGGTCTTGCCCAGACCACTGGTCATCCTTAGGTGTGAAGAGGCCAGGGCACACCCACATTTCTAGGTTTCCCTAAGCACTCTGCTAGGACATATGGGGCGAAGTTCATTTGCTTCAGCTTTAAAAACCTATCTATCTAGTCATCCTGAAAAAATGATTAAATCTAGCACCAGCCAACTTATCAACAAACTCCTGAATGCTTTTGGCAGTGATCAAGAAGACAGAATAAGGGAAATTCTTAATTCCTTAGCTAGGAAAACCAGCCACTTAACTTGGTGACCAGAAGTCACGTCCCACGCAGAGTGTGCATTTCTTAATCAAGACTTTCAATTTTTTTTTTTAAAGATTTATCCATTTATTTATACAAGCACTGGGTACAGTCAGAAGCACGGGAGGGTGAGAGAATTCACCAGAGCCAGAGCAGGGAGCAGAGCAGGCAGAAGGACCGAAGTACACTGTTGGGGGGAGCAGCGGGCGGCAGGAGAGGTCTGCGCGCCATGTGGGACCCTCCCCCTGGTGGCTGGGGATTGAACCAGCACTGCAGAGGCTGCGGGCAGCCTCGCAGTCCAGCGCTCAACCGGTGTGCCATGGGGGAGGCCCAAGACCTATTCAATTTTTAAAAAAGTTTTTACTATGAAAATTTTCAGACATACATAAATGTTTATCAAATCCCATGTATTCATGACCCAGTTTCAGTGATCAGCAATGACTCGATTTTAAAGGTAGATCACAGAGATATTATCTAATCTATTTATCTCTTAAGAAAGTAGTGTATTTTGGGCCTCCCTTGGTGGCGCAGTGGTTGAGCGCTGGGCTGTGAAGCTGCCCGCAGCCTCTGCAGCACTGGTGTGATTCCCAGCTGCTGGCAAGGGTCCCATGTGGCGTGACAGACCTCTCCTGCCGTGCCCGCTGCTCCCCTCAGCAGTGTACTTCGTCAGTCTGCCTGTTCTGTTCCCCTCTCTGGCTCTAATGGATTCTCTCACCCTCCCGCACTTCTGACTGTACCCAGTGCTTGTATAAATAAATAAATAAATAAATCTTAAAAAAAAAAAAAAAGTAGTGTATTTTCAGAGACATGACCCGACAGAATGGGATTACCCCCGGGGCCTGGGGCACTTTACAAGTCCTTGCCCTGAGAACTCCCTATCACAGTGGAAATTACCCAAGTTCTGTTATTTGAAAAAAAAATCCCTCTGGCTTCCCTTTTCCTAAGTAACTTCAGAGAAGAAGGGGTCCTCCAGCATGCGGACTTTTTACTTTACAAGTCCCTTGAGTCAAATCACCATGAATCACTATGGTAGGAGTCCTGAAGCTCCCTAAATCTTTCCAAAGACCTCTGGACCATAAAGAGCACAAGGGAAAGGAACAAGGTGGACCAGGCTTGGGGTTGGTCAAGAACTGCTGGGAAAAAACGAAAGGGAAGCACCGAAGGGACATTCACAGAGGCCTGAACACATTCCAGACCAGGTCAGGGCTCCGTTCCCCTCTCACAGCTTTCAGCTCAGCATCACCGCACCACCTCGGGGGGCCTGAGGCAGCCGCTACCACCAGGCTCTTGCTTTCTCCAGAGTCATCACCTACCCTCTCCATAAAGCTGTCTTCACAGCTGCCACAGTGCTTCTGCCCCTTCGCCCCCTGCAATTAAGAAAACCACTGTGGTCTTATAATTGAGCATCATTTGCTGATCCTGCTGTGGGCGAACCCTCTATTTTCCTTAGGAGACAAACCAAAACTTGCTGCAACCAGATACAAGCATAAGAGGAAGAAAGCAAAACGTCCCCATCCCCTAAATCCTTCAGAGAGCCTCAAATTACACGAGAACACGAGATGAATCATGAGGGTGGACCTGGCTTTTCTCTAGGGAGAAAGCCTGGGCTCTCCAGCGAAGATCTAGAAAGTTACAAGCAAGCAGGCCAGAAGAGAAGGGGTGACATCACCAAGCTCAGCGGCGAACTCCCAGCCTGCACACATTCATCAGAAGTGACGCCATAGTGCGTTGATACCCATGACATCCGAAGCGGTGGTCCCTCCCAGCCCACTGGAAAGTATTCACTGTCCTCTGACTTGATTCACACTAAAGGAAGCTGAATTTCTTTGTCTCCATGTCCATTTCAAAACCTATGTGATTCTACAGAAAATAAAGTGGGCAATGCCGTTTCTAAATCAGTGGTGACCGGGAGCTTCCTGCTTCGAGAGGGAACACTTGCGTTTGTCTGAGACCACGCTGGAGCCAGAGGCCAACAAGGCTAGCGGGAGCCGCCTGCTGAGACAGAGGGTACCTTGGAGAACAGGATGCTGTCCACGTCTTCACTGGCTGAGTGGAAGAGATCAGAATCACTCCCGGATTCTCTTTTCAGTACACCTTGCTTTGAGGCACACTCTCTGCCCAGACCAACATCCAGAAAGTTCTCGCACTCTGAAAAAGAACATTTGTTCAACCAGTCATTAACAAAATTCAGTTTCCTCCCATCCCAGCAAACAGCCTTTAGCCCCCATATCAAGCAGCTGAGAGCCATAGTCACAAGTGCCTCTCAGCTGGGAACTCCAGTGGGTTCGGCTACCACACGCCACCCATGAATTTGTGATGTTCACCGTAAGTACATACTTTTTATCACCGTTAAGTACGTACTTACGGTGAACATCACAAAAAAAAGAAGATAAAATGGTGATTTAGAACCATCATTCCACTGCTATTTATTTAAATATTACTCTCCTGGGCCTCCCTGGTGGCACAAGGGGTTAAGCACCGCACTATGACGCTGTCCACAGCCTCTGCAGCACTGAGTTCAATCCCCGGCCGGCCAGGGAGGTGCCCACATGGCACAGCAGACCTCTCCCGTCACCCCGCTGCTCCCCTCAGCAGTGTATTTCAGTCAGTCTGCCTGTTCTGTTCCCTGCTCTGTCTCTGGTGAATCCTCTCACCCCCTGCATCTCTGGCCTGTGCCCCAGCTCTTGTATGCATAGATAAATAAATCTTTTAAAAAAAATATTACTTTCCTCCTGGTAGTTTTTTCTTTTGCTAATCAGAAACTATGTGATAGCACTGTGGCCTACTTCCAGGTTGGGAGGCAAATTCTTTATAGATATGTTACTTTTATCAAACTACTGGGGAAGGTGGGGGGGCGCACACCTAATAAACACATCAACATATTAAATTTATGGATTCACTGGATAATACAAGTATAATTATTCCCCCTTCTCCTACCTCAAATGGACACAACATTTGGGGACTGAGGTGCTGAAGTAGAAAAACCTACCATCTAGAGTCTGTTTCTATTTCAATCACCCAGAACTGGGCCTCTGCAGACAGAGGAGGGGCCCTGACAGGAATGTGACACCGGGCAAGGAAGGAATTCTAAGAGTGCAGTAAAATTCAGACAGTGTCCAATCTCCCCTGTTCACTTTGTAAATAAATGGACATGTGACCTGGGAGCAACAGATTTAAAGAGAATGTACATGGTGAAACCAAGAACCCCAAAGACAGTCAGTCAGTGGGTAGATACCAGCCTGCTTCAAGAAGTTCTGAAGATAATAAGCGCGTCTCCATCCTACCTCGTACTTTTTTATGTATGATTTGGATAGACACATAGACCTGCTTATCAAATCTGCAGGCGACACTAATTGGCAAGTAGAAAGCCTAGCTACCTAACGATTCAGAACTCTACCTGGCGGTTTTGGTTGGGACCAAATTCAAGAGGGCTTGGCAAAGGGATGGCAACACAAAAACTAGTGATATTTTAGCCTCTATAAATAGACGGTGTACCCATATCCAAAAGAGGACAGCGTGAGCCTGTGTGTGCCAGTCAACTGCACAAGAGCGTGCGTGGTCCTAGGAGGATTTACACTAAAATCCTCGCAAACAAAAGATGCAAGGCCAACAAGCAGGACAAAAGCTGGCAAGTGAAGCCACAGAAATTCGCTGTAGCTGGGGCCCACAGGAAGTGGCGGCTAGACTAGGTAACCCCAATGTCTTCATTCTTAGACTCTATGCTGGACAGTAACTGTGCATGTGTTTGCGTGCACTTATGAGAAAAGGGTCTCACCTAACGGATAAAACCACCGGGACTAGCTGGGACTCTCAGAGGGAGGTCGGGGGGTGCTGCCTTGGCAGAGTTCCTGAATCACTGATCAGTGACATGACCTTCCTATCAACTAGGAATGTGACTAGGGACTGGGGAACAGCCCCACAAAAAGAGATGTTGTTAGTGTGAGTGTGTGCACACATACAAGAGAGCGCTTACAATCTCTGCAGTAGAAAGGACCTTATTAACAGTGACAATTTCAACACAGAAGTACGCAGAGATGCCACAGAAAGTGAGGCAGGGCCCAGAGATTAATCTGAAAATGTTCTCACTAGAGGCAAACCTGACCTTGGTCTGCGTCACCGAGTGCAAAGTACCGCTGAGTGTCAGGTTGACGGGAGTAACCCTGCCTTCAAAAAACTGGAGTCACAGCTATTCCAGGAGACTGTTGTTCCACATCTCAGAGAGTACGTACTGAGTGGAACCGGTGGGTGTGATCCTTCGACTTGTTCCCTTTCCCCCACTTGGAAAAATAAAAACTCCATTCCATGGTTTAGGGGAAAATCGGGGGGCTGGCCAAGAAGAGAAAGGGCTGTCACAGCAACTATGCTGAGCTGCGAGCGGTCCAGCTGGCAGTCTAGCAGACCACGTCCAAATTCCAGACTGGAAAACAGACCAGCTCGAGACGTTCTAATGGAAACTTCACAGGGAAGATCCAGCTTCACCCCGGTAGGAAGACCTCACCCAGAAAACAAATCCAAGCCGGTACTGTGAGGGACCACAAAGCAAGTGTGGAGTACGAGTCTGCTGAGCGACTGAGAGGATGGCCGAGCTGGAACAGGCCAGGAAGGCCAGGAGCAGGCAGAGAGGGGGCCTGCAGTCGCTATGAAATGCCCACAGGTGGGGGGAGCCAACAGGCAAAGCTACGGCACATGCTGGTAAGCTTTCCAAATGAATGGAATCCTTTCTCTCTTCCTAATAAAGCGGAGCAGCATGTGAAAGTGCAGGCAAGAGCAGCGAGCACTGGTTTAGAGTCAGAGCTGGGGCTTAGACTGAGGCGTGGCTTCTGCTAGACCGACGATCCCAGGCCAGTGATTTCACCCCCTAAGCCTCTCCACCTCCACAGCAGGGAAATGGGAAGGAGCTGCACCGCCTGGAAATGGCTGTTGTGACCATTAGAAATCAGCTATAGGTTAAGTAAACAGAACCTACACATTAAGTAACTGCAACTCCACCCTCAGGACACAGCTGGTGTGTGACAAACAAGGCTGATGAAATTAAGGCTTTATTGACCAAGGACGTGTGACTTCACAAGTGGCTCGCAGTATATCATGAGAATGATATACACCCCACACCCCATCCAAGAGAATGTTTCTGGGCGGTGTGTGATCTGGTAGGTTATTTTGGGTCTGGGAAAGCATAACATTTTTTCCATATAAATTAATGGTAATAGTGTTCCCAAATCCAAAAAACAAGCTACCAGATAAGAATGTTCTACTTTTGGATGAAGAGGGCAGGGGGTCTGGACTGTGGGTGAACCAACGCCATTTTATCACCCACACAGAAATCTGTCTATAACTCTTTGGGTCCTGAGTCATTAGTTTTAGAAACTAGCAAAATGTATACTTTTAAAAGATGTTATCTAGTTGCCTGGATTCAAAACTACACACAAGCACATAAACTACAGCTGGTGAGTGGAGGACCAAGCAGCAGGAGCCTGGGTTTAGCTGGCAGAAGCTGACCAAGATGCTATCTTGCATTTATCTGGAACTGAAGACTATGCAGAGTGATTGTGAAAGATACTATCTGACTTGGCCTGGCCCTACTGCTTTCGAGCTTTGTTTACCAAGTAGAAAGAAAGAAGCCTGCAACACGAGAAGTACCTAGAATTCATAAAAATTCGCGTCTGAAAATCAGAGTCTTTGCTCTGAGGATCAGAAGCATAGTCCAGATCATGGGTTTTGTTAAATTGAGGTTTAAAAAGAATCACTCTACAAGGAATAAAGCAGTTATGCTCGGCTTGGAGGGGGCTGAGGGAGGAATCAACACAATTCAAGACTACACCCTGGTGAAAGGCTCAGGGGTTCAGAATTCATTCCTTTAAATGAGTAACTTAAACTGTAACACAACGGAGACACTTCCTGTAAATATTCAAGCTGTAAGGCCACCCGATTCAACCTTTAGGAGGCAGCAGTTTCACTGCTTGGTGGTCAGGAGTGACTACACTTGCAGACAAAGCCCCAGGTAGCTGAAGACACTAAACACAGTAAGGCGTATACTTTTAAGCAGAAGATTCTATGGGGCTGGAGGAGGGAAGTGTCAGCTAAATCTGTGCACTGGGCCAATCTTATCATATGTATGGGGAGCCTACAACTCAGCCCTAGGATATAGTAACATCCTTTAATGGCGTTCTCTATGTCAGACAAAGACAGAGAAGAGCATTTTTCATGTTTCCAAAACTTCCTTTGGACTAAATTCAGAGAGCTGAGAAACAGCAGGAAACCTCTCTTTCGTTAGAGGATCTGAACCGTTTCTCTGCAAATGGAGTATTACTGCAGGGCACCCAAAGCAAAAGCATTTGTAAAAAGTGTTTCAGGACTGAGTAGTTTTTAAAAAGCAGGTCAGTAAAAATTGGTAAGGCAAACAGAGGCTTTGCGGTTAAAGCAGACTTGAGAGCCCACACAGCTGCAGAAACAGGCAAGGGGACTTCCAATTACTCCCCAGATCCCTGGAACAACACTCCCAAGAAGGAAGGCCAGTCACGCTTCAGAAATGGGGAGGCAACAGGGCACCTCCCCACGTCACATGGAGAGCGGCGAACGTGGGGTAAAAGACTCCTGACGAACCTTGAGGCATGTGCCCCGTACCATTAACAAGCAAGCTCGGAAGAGGATTTGGCTTTGTGCAGCTACTGCTGAGCTTCCTCACACATGCTCCAGGGGAGACGCAATCCCTGCCAATACTGACAAGTTGATGGTGCTCCATCTCAACTGCACAGCAGAATTGTGAAATGAATTTAAAGACTCTCTGACACCAGGTCACACCTCAGCCCAACTACATCAGAATTTCTGGGGCAGGAACCAGGCATCAGCATATTTTTAAAGTTCCCCAGTTAATTTCATCTGAAGTCAAAACTGAGAGTCAAAGGCTTAGTCCTAAATAATATAGTTTTACTAGCTTAACAAGCTTTTATCACCTGAATATGCACAGCACAGATGCCAAGACTTCACAGGTGAAATAACAGATCACAACACCGGAAGTGAACACTTACAATTAAAATCAAATACAGGTAATGTAACAAGTGCTCATTTTCAATTAGAAAACAAAGTGTCTACAAACCCAAATCACATCCTCTCTTCCTCCCATCCACTGACCACATGGTGAGGAAGGACAGACAGCTCTCCAAATGGAAGGACCAGTGATCAGAGGAAGAGTGTGGCTCCAGGAAATGGCCATTTCACAAGCAATTATTCAAGTCATTGGAAGTAGGAAAACCCCTGCTCACCTGGGCTCTTCGTAGGAGCCACAAGAGCTGCAGCATCAGGGCACGGCTCTATTGTACACCAGCTTTCTCGATTTATCTGAAGGAAAAGAAAAACAGATCAAGTTTTAGAAAATGCAATAAAGGGGGATGACTTTACAGCTACTCCTAGTATTTCCACTGTATCAACATGTCTATCTTTAACACCTCATTGCAAACTAGGCAAATTTATGTCACAATACGATCAAAGCAGGGTCTCCCCTGGTGGCGCAGTGGTTGAGCGCTGGGCTGCGAAGCTGCCCGCAGCCTCTGCAGCACCAGTTCAATCCCCGGCCACTGGCGAGGATCCCACATGCCGCGTAGACCTCTCCTGCCACGCCCGCTGCTCCCCTCAGCAGTGTACTTTGTCAGTCTGCCTGTTCTGCTCCCCGCTCTGGCTCTGGTGAATTCTCTCACCCTCCCGTGCTTCTGACTGTACCCAGTGCTTGTATAAATAAATATATCTTTAAAAAAAAAATGGAGCGTATTTAAATAAAAAAAAAGAAAAAGAAAAAATACAATCAAGGCAGTCGATACTGAATTCAGGCTGTAAAGAGACTCTTAAAGACAAACCCTGAAAGCTGATTATAGAACTGAAGTGTCCAGAGGGAAGGGGTTGGAAAAGGGGTGGGGAGAAAGAGCAAAGGGGGCACAATGAACTAAGGTGGAGGATGACGGCTGACTTCCTGGTGGGTGTGCTATGGTGGTAGCTGGGGAGGGGATTCTCCATCACCTCAATTAAAATTTAATTAATTAAAAAAATAAAGAGACTGTCAGTAAAAGTTAGGAATATAATAGCACTAAGAAAAAAGATCTGTTATGAGGAAGACCATGGGCCATGTCCAGGTTGAAGTAAAAAAGGCTAGCAGATAAATAAAATTGACCAAATGGTAAAATACATATTTGATGTTCTTGTTTGCAAGTAAAAAAAAAAAATCAAAACAATTCTTATATATTTATTCAAGAATGACTATAATGTTGGATAGCAGGTTAAGAACTTTCTGTATATCTAATTTAACCTTCACAACAGCTACAAAAATCTGTATGATCTTTATCCAAAGAATGACCAGGGTCTCCCTGGTGACGCAGTGGGTTGAGCGCCGCACTGTGAAGCTGTCCGCAGCCTCTGCAGCGCGGGTTTGATCCTGGCCGGCCAGGGGAGATATCTACATGGCGCGGCAGACCTCTCCTGTCTCGCTCGCTGCTCCCCTCAGCAGCGTATTTCAGTCAGTCTGCCTGTTCTGCTCCCTGCTCTGTCTCTGGAGAATCCTCTCACCCTCCCACACATCTGGCCTGTACCCTGGTTCTTGTATAAATAAATAAATCTTAAAAAAAAACAAAAACGAATGACCAGACTCAGAGGGGTGGCTGGGGTAATAAGTCTATGCTACTGCAAAGCATATGAAGCAGTAAATACATGCTATTAAAGCAGCTCTTAATTTAACCTTTCCAAGTCCCAACCATCTTAACATTATAATACTCTAATTAGAACAGTACAATTTTTGAAATTGTCATTTAAAAATTTTAACAGTCCTTTTTCGTAACTGATAAAGCACAGACACACAAAATCAGTGAGGAGACAGAAAATTTGAGAAACATTATCAGCGATTTGCTCTAATGGACATGCATAGAGCACTGCACTGAACCAGCAGAACACACAGTTTTCAAGAGCACATGGGATGTTTGCCAAGACAGACCACATTCTGGGGCATTAAACAATTCTCAATTTGAGGATTAAAATCATATGAAGTATGCTCTTTGGCCACAACAGTATTAAATTAGAAACCAAAACAAAAAGGTACCTGGAAAAACTTCAAATATTTAAAAACAACTTATAAAACAAACATTAAGGAAATATTTAATATTGGTTAAATAACAGGAAATATTTTGAGCTGAATAAAGACAAAAACACCATGTATAAAAATTTGTGAGAATCAGCTAAAACAGTGCTTAGAGCAAAACCTGTAACAGTAAAATGCCCAGATCAGTGAAGAAAAGTCTCAAGTCAATGATCTAAGCTCCCACTTAGAAAACAGAAACAGAGCAAGTTCAACCAAATCAAACACAATAAAGAAAATAAAGAGCAGAAATCAGTGCAATAGAAAAACAATGAAATAGAAAACAGACCAATTACATCTAGCTAGATTGGTAAAGAACACAAGAAAGTTACAAATAACCACATCAGTAATTAAAGAGAGACATCATTACAGAGCCTACAGACACGGAGAATAATAAATACTATGAACAATTTTATTGCAAAATTCAATGTTATGGAAATGTTCCATAAAAGACACAAAATATCAAAATCCACTTAACAGGCACCCAAAATGACCTATACTATTAAACACATTGAATTCATAGTTTTAAACCTTCCTGTAAGGGAAACTCCAGGTCCAATGATAAATGCTACCAAACATTTAGACAAAAAAATAATAGCAAATCTACACAAATTCAGAAAATAGAAGGAAACAATACATTTTATGAGCCTGTATCACCCTGCTTCCAAAACTAGATGAATGCATTATCAGAATACTATAAATCAGTGCCCGCAGGAAGACAGATATAAAAATCATGAACAAAATTTTAGGAAATTGAATCCAGCAAATAAAAAAAGATAAACTTATCATGATTTAGGAATTTCATCCTAGAAATGCAAGATTGTTTAGCACTTGAAAAGTCAATTTATTTACAGACCAACCCCCCCCCACCCTAATGATTATCAATAACGCAGAAAATAATTTGGAAAAATTCAACATCTATGCATGATAAAACTCACAGAACACAGGGAACTGAAGGGGAATTCATCAAACTGATAAGGGCATGGGCACCTATTAAAACAAATAAACTACTGTTAACATCACACCCAATGGTTAAAAATTAAATGCTTTCACTCTACGATCAAGAGCAGTGCAAGAATGTCCACTCTCAATTTACATTGTACAGATGGTTCTAGCCAATGCAGTAAAGCAGAAAAGGAAGTAAAATGCACAGATTTGGAAAGGAAGAATTATAACTCTTTATTTACAGATGACATGATTGAATGACTACACAGAAAATTCTGAGGAAAGCTACAAAAATGCTACTAGAATAAGTTTTGCATAGGTGCAGGATACAAAGTCAATATACCAAACCAAGCCAAACCAAACACCCAAAACAACACTAGGTCTATATATCACCAGTGAACAATTAAAAATGAAACACAAAAACTAAATACCATTTATAATCGTATCAAGGAATATAAAATAATTAGGCGTCAATTGAAGAAGATAGGAGCAAGACTTATACTTTAAATACTACAAAAAAAGTGCTGATAAGACTTAAGCTAGGCCTAATGAGAGATAATACCATATTCACAGATCAAAATACTCAGCACTGTTAACTCTCCTCAACTGATCATCATTTGATTTGAGGACTTACTAGAGAAGGTACAGGAATCAAGCCAGTACAGAGTACCAGCAGAAAGATAAATAAGATCAATGGAACAAAAGATTCCACACACAGACTTTCACAGATGAAGCCTACAGATTTTGTACAAAGATGCCAAGGAATACCAGTGAAGACAACAATGGCCTTTGAACAATCAATGTTGTAACAACTGGATGTGGAGTACAAACAAATCTCCCCCAAATCTTAAACTTATACTCTCTATAAAAATAAAGTTGAGATGCATCTAAATGTCAAAAGCTAAAACCATAAAACTTCTAGAAGAAAACATGGAGAAGCATTTTTTTTGTGTCTGGGTAAAACAAAGATTTCTTAGCATGCATGAAAAACCTGATAAATTTAACCTCATCAAAATGAACAACTTTTACTCCTCAACAGGCATTGTTAGGAAAAGAAAAGGCAAGCCACAGATGGGAGAAAATATTAAAACAACATCAATACCGGTACGCAGAATATTACAATAGGGAAAAAAAAAAAAACAACCTCTTATAATACAATACTAAGACAATTTTTTAATTTTTATTTTTTATTATTTTTTTTTTATAGAGGCATGCTTTATTTATTTATTTATTTATTTATTTTGTTTGTTTGTTTTGTTTATACATGCACTGGGTACAGTCAGAAGCGCGGGAGGGTGAGAGAATTCACCAGAGCCAGAGCGGGGAGCAGAGCAGGCAGAAGGACCGAAGTACACTGCTGAGGGGAGCAGCGGGCAGCAGGAGAGGTCTGTGCGCCATGTGGGACCCTCCTCTGGTGGCCGGGGAGCAGCTGGGGATCGAACCGGTACCGCAGAGGCTGCGGGCAGCTTCGCAACCGAGTGCTCAACCGCTGCGCCACCGGGGAGGCCCTAAGACAATTTTTTTTAAATGGGCAAATAACTCAAACATTTTTCGAAGAAGTATGAATGGCAAACATGCCTTCATAGCCCAACAGCATTAATCATCACAAAAAAGAAAATTAAAAGCACAGGGAGTAACAGTCCACATCCATTAGAATGGTTTAAATTCAAGAGTGATGATACCAAGTGTTGACAAAGCTGCAGAGCAACTGTAATACTGACCTTTGCAGGAGAATGCAAAATAGAACATTCACTTTGAGAAACAGCTTGGCAGTTTCTTATACTGTCACATGTATGTTACATACAGCACAGCAATCTTACTCATAGTGTTTACCCAAGAAAAAGAAAACTGTGTCATCACACAAAGACTTTTGTTGGAATTTTCACAGCAGCTTAATGAATGATAGTCCCCATGAGCCCAGGCTGCCATCAACTGTGATTGGACAAAGTTGGTAAATCCATATAATGCAACAGACTTACAAGGAGAGGGAACGAACTCCTGATACAAACAACCACCTGGTGGGATTTCAAGAGCATAATGCTAAGTTTAAAAAAAAAAAAGCCACATGACTACCTATTGAATGATTACATTTAAATAGTTTAGAAAGGCCAAATCAGTGCGAGAAAGCCTCTTAGTGATAAGCAGGGTCTGGAGGAAGAGGCTGACTCCAGGGGGCCAGGAGAGAACTATGTATATGGATAATAGAAATGTTCCTATCATGATAGTGGATTTTTGAAAATCACAATATCCTCCTTTTTATTAAATTATAAAATGGTTG